ATAGTGTGAAGATTAAGACTAAAATGAAAGCTATATATCGCTAGTATTTGTGTTTCGGATTGAATTTGGACCAGACGGTATTCATCGTTAGTATTTCGTAGTTTATTATATAACATATTTCAATTGAATCAGAACTATATTACAAGTAAATCAAGCTGATGAATCTCAGGATCAGCTATACAACATTGATACTGTAGAGAACGAGAACCCAAGTGATGGGCAACCAAATGTATGTGAATACACATTTACACAACTACTTAGTAAAATCTAAGAACCACACAGCGAATACTTCATTTTGCAAAATGCCAATTATTCGTTTCAGATTCCATTATTTTTTCGTTTTCACACTAATCGTTCTCTGATCCGATTGATACTTCCTTATATCATTATTAATTAAAACATGTACTTCAATATATATAATGTTATTACTGTTATAGTAGTAGTAATAGTAGTACCACCAGATAGACCCACCGAACACCTCATCTCCAGGTCCGCAATGGTATTCGTAGAATAGCACCCTTTCCAACCTGGTTGGCAGCGATACCAAATGTAGTGAACAAGAACACAAATAGGGACAATCAAATGTATTTGAATACGAAATTACAGAACATCTTAGTAAAATCTGACAACAGTACAATAAATAATTCATTTGCAAAATGTCAATCAATTGTCTTAGACTTCATTGTTCTTCGTTTCTATGCCAATCATTCTATGTTCTTATTCTGTTCTCTTTGATTTTCTCGACTTTCTGTCGCATGGAACTCCACTTTCGATTGATGATACTTACGACTTATATTTGTCGATATCAGTAGAATACACCACAATATTACTGTTAAACACAATTCAAACGTATTCCATAATAAATGTCCAGTGTTGTTTGTCTTCCTATGATCACATCAAATTAAATAGCTTTGTGATTGGACGTTAGCTTGCATCTAATGTCAACTAGGATTCAGTCAAAAGTCCGCCACAGAAAATTGAGTCCGTGGTGAGAACTAATTAACAGGAAACCCTATTCGTATTTTTTTTCATATTAGTTAGTACTTTTCGATGGATAATACATGTAGTCCAGTGAGAACTGATGTTTCCCATTGCATTCGAAGCCGTGTCACTTATTTGCATTGTTTAATGAGTTGCCTAACAGTGGAATCCAGTTTGACGAGCGTTTCGTTCTATTTGTGACTCGTCAGCTGTATATACCTGCATTTCCGAGTTGATATTCACTCTGGGACTCGAACCCGGTACCGTTCACTTTCAACCCCATCACATTTTCCATTTAGCTACTGAGTTACAATGGAGATATTTATACCACAGCTGACTTCCTGTGGGACTGAGATATTTGTAATGATTGATCGTCAAGTAGTAACCAATGTCATAATTATGTCGTTTTTAACAATAAGGAAATTCTATCGATCAAGTTGTAATGTAGCCGTTAGTCTAAATATTTCGATATTGCACGTATACCTATAGTGAGTAAAATCCACTCACATAAGACCCGAACAGAGTACGACTTCATAGTAGCTACCTTTAACAACCTAACATTAAAGCACAATAGTTATGATGTCCAGTCACTTAAACCAATGGTCACATTCAAACTTGATGAATAAAATTCGATCAGTAATTAAGGACTAGATACAAATGACAATAGTTACTACTCAGTCCACATTTAATGTGAACACTTCATGAAATATACAACAAAAGTTGATCACAATAAACACAAATGAACATACGTAAGAGACTTTTATTGCAAATCCTATATTATTTTGGACAGCTATTTGGTGAAGACTCTGATAAAATGCAGAATCATTTGATAGCACTGAGTAACAATGCCACAATATTTGGGATGCGCTTCTCTCCCTCTAAATGCAAGTTGTTGCTTCAGGACTGATCTGCGTCAACACATGAACTAAAGATAGGGAGTGAAGTAGTCGAACACGTTGGCAACTTCACTTATCTTGGAAGTCTGACCAGTCCAATGGGTTGATGTCTAAAGAAATCTCAGCACGGATTCAAAAGCTCGTTTGACTTTTCCAACTTACGTCACCTATGGCAAAGGCGAGATATCCGTCTGTTGATTAGGAGACGAGTATACTGCGCTGCAGTTCGTTCTGTTTTACTTTACGGCTGAAAAAAGTGGCTATTAAGAGTAGAAGATAATCGTAAGCTACCAATATTTGACCACAGATACCTTGGAAATTTTGCTGGCATCTCCTGGGATCACCGAGTTAGTAATAGTGATGTTGAACGCAGGGTATTGGGGAACGATGATGGTGAATCATTTGATGAAGTTGTGAATATTCGTCAACTGAGATGGTTGGGCCACGTGTTGCGTATGCCTGAACACCGATCACCACGACGCTCAATGCTGACTTGTGTTGGAAATGGTTGGAAGAGAGTTAGGGGCGGCCAAACCGAAATGTGACATCAGTCCACAAAGTCACTAACTTCTAGTCTGAGACATGTTGTTAAGTGAAGACTAATTGGTCGGGGTCTGCGTGACTCTTGTAACTAATGGTTGGAGACTGTGATATATAGCTCAGAATCGATCACAATAGCGTAAGTGTGGCAACTTGGAGCGATGCATGTGTGTGCCTGGTCCTACGTTGTAGCTGACTGACTGCATCGACTAAAATGTTCGATAACTTATTAATCATTGAAGCAAAAATCAATCGAATTCATTTAAATTGGGATGAAAAACAACTTTTAAAAGCCAATCCCTTTTGTTGAATAATATTGAAGTCCTTATTGGCCATATGCTTTACTCTACATCATGATTTGAGTATGCATTCTGATACTACTTACAAGTAGTTAACATCTGATAGTGATAATTTCCCTTTAGTCAAGTTCACAATTGTGACGATGGATTTAGGTTTGCATTCATCTTACATGAATCATGAGGTTTCATTTAATGTACAAGTTACTGTCATACACCATTCTATTCTGAAGTTACTGTGATTTAAGCATGGTCATTGCATTTCGTTTTTCTACTCTAATATCTTAATTTATATATGATTGTAGTTGATTGTTTACTCATGTATCTTTTTTGAGTCGACGGAATCCGTTAGGATGCAGCTGGACTATCTACACTTCACAAATGATCTGACTACTCTATTGTACTCACAACAACAAATGCAAGAGAAGACAACTAGTGTAGCGGCTGTTGATCTCAACATACACAAAGGGAAAAACAAGATTCTCCGATACAACACAACATGCAACAATAGAATCACACTTGGAGAAGGTTTGAAAGATGTAAAAACCTTTACATGTCTGAGCGGCATCACTGATGAACACGGTGGACCTGATGCATATGTGAAAACGCAGATCGGTAAAGCAAGAACAACATATCTACAACTGTAGAACATATGGAACTCAAAACTATCTGTCAATCAACACCAAGGTCACAATTTTCATTACAAATGTCAAGACAGTTCTACTGTATGGGGCGGAAACTTGGACAACTACGAAAGCTATCATCCAGTAGATACAAGTGTTTATTAAAAGTTGCCTACACAAAACACTTCGGATCCGTTTGCCAGACATTATGAGCAACAACCTACTGTGGGAGGAAAAAAAACCATGGGTTGGAATGTATATATGGACTAATCCGATACATATATTCTTACTGTATAATTATTCAGTAGCTAGATTATGTAATATTTATACTTCTCTTACTACAAGCTTTATTTTGACCCATAGACTATTATTATACGATTTACCGTTCTTGAGTTATGCCTAGTCTAATAATGACAGTCTTCCATATTCATTGCCACTTTGGTTTGTATATAAACTCAGATTGATAGGTCCTGGGTTCGAATCTCGTGAAGCAAGATCGTGGGTGCACATAGCTTAGGAGTCCCTTAATAGGACGAAATAGCCATCCAGTGCTTTTAAGTTTTACATGGTAGTCTAGCTCCAATTGTCTCATGAATTCAACTATAAACCCAGTATGTTTAAAATACATGATTCGCAATTTGGAGGCTGAGATTTGTGTTCTAGACTCAACAGGCATTGATCGGAGACTCTTGGTGATATGGCTGAGAATCGATCACAATGGCGTCGGTGTATACACTCTCTGTCTTTCCTTAAACTAAGAGATTAAAATCGCTGCATATCTTTCTTTCTACAAACGAATCCTTTCTTCCTGTACTATGTCCTTATATGCAATCCTTCTTTTATATATTACCATCATTGACTTAACTACTTCTATGAATCCGGTGTTCATCTTGTTGTGCTAATGAGGTATGGCAACTTGGACTGATGCACATATGTGCCTACTCCTACGTTGTGACTGACTGACTGGATTGATAAGTACCTTTCTCATACCCAACACGATCGTACTCAATTTGTCACAGATTCCCGCTAAAACTCGGAGATGTGTCATGACAAGACGCAATAGCCATTCACAGTGCTCCTCGATTTTCAATGGTTGTCTAAGTTTGTGATTTTAATTAAACTTAAGAATTTCTACAACCTTATTACTGACAAAGCTAGACAATGAAATACGAAGATATAACTTTAATATATGAAATTATTGACTGTTGAATTAACACTTGTTGACAGATGTTCAGGTTGGAATTGTACAATCAAATGATGGTTCATTGATTTTAATGAATAGGCGTACATTGTGAAGCTTGGCATAGGCAGTCACTGAATCTTACTTTAGAATGAAATAACATTTCATTATTCTCTGGCTTACAACTAGTATCCTAAATAAGATCAATCCGTGATGAATACAACCTACTAACGATCTTCAATTACACAACTGACTTGAAAAAAAAAAACACACAACCTCAAAACTATTGATTGAAAATAAGAGTTTCGTCTTAGTTATTTGTAATTCTTCATCAGTCATCAACATTAACGATATTACACAGGATTGATCATCAATGTACATTACACTAAGAACATTATATACATAATATATATATATATTTACATATAGAATAATGTATACATTATATTACAATCAATCATACATTATACCTATTACATAGATCTTATATTAAAAGTGTATTCTGTTGTAAGTAGTATAAAGTGATTGAAGCTAAAAAACCTGGAATAGAATGATTTACATTTAAATAATGATAAATATTATCTGGTAATGATTTAGTAAATTTATTTTCAACTAATTCAAATTTTCCATCTATTTTCTATAATGAAAAACAAATAGGAAAGTAAAAAGAAGGTAGTTTAGTGAATATATTAAGAGAATAGTAATATGAAACATCATTATTAAGGATCCTCCTTAGTTAGATAATCATTAAAGATTAAGAAGAACTAGACTGATGGATACTGGCTACCATGAGACTGCATCTCCTGACGTTGTTCCACTATCTTATTGATCAAACCTTCAGGTCGAAGGCTCCAGGTGTGGCTCTCTAAGAAAACCAACTGTTTCAGTTTGGGCATCCGGGCAGTATCCCAGCCCTCACATAAATCATTCGATTTATGTGGCGCTTATCTATTCGGTGCATTCTTGTACCAATGTTTATATGTTTAAAATAAATAAATAAGAACTGGACTTCTTAGTAGTGCAGATCTCAATGTGCGATTAAACCTATGACGAAAAGCGAATGTTCTGTGCTTCAAGCGGGTTGGTGAACAAGGAAGGTTTACCTAAGGGAGTTGAAAAACCCTCATTCCAAATCAATGGTGAACATGGGTTGGCTACAGGATCCTGAAGGAACAAATGGTCTATGAAGCAATTATTGACCACCGGCTATCATGGAACTGCATCTCCTTACGTTGCTCCACTATCTTATTGATCAAACATCTAAGCTAAAGGCTCCGGCGTGGCTCTCTAAGAAAACCACCTGCTTCGATTTGAACACCCGGGCAGTAACCCAGCCGTTACACAAATCGAATAATTTATGTAGCGCATATGTATTCGTTGGCCCTTTGTGCCAATATATATGGGTTCAAAAAATAAACAAAATAATTTCCAGAGTAAGCGCTCAATCTTAAAGACCATTGATTTAGTAGTGTATTAGATGAATCCATCAGATATTTTGTTACATATGTTTTGTCGCTGGATTCAATCTATCCTCAAAATAGCAATATGCATACTTGGACATTATATAATGAATTGTTTCCATCAGAGTATATTGCAAAGCAAGTTGTATCGTATAAGTCGAGGAAATATACTTAGTTCGACTAAGATGGCAGAAGTATGTGTTACGTATGTCCATTCACTCCATACCTTGATCATAGGTGTTACGTTTAATTAGCGGTCAAGCTTCTTTATCGTTAAGATCTAATCGAGTTATATTGGATGTAACACTTGTTCCAATTAAGTTATGTCATTCCAGGTAGGTCGGATGGAGAGTGATGAGTGAGTATAAAAGTAGTAAACTGAAAATCCAAGAGCGAAATTGTGCTGCCTACCATACAGAGAGGTTTAACGGCAGTAGGAATTTTCCAGCAGATAACCAGTATTTCTTGGCGATGCTGACTCTTCATACCATAAAGAACGGGTTAGGAATAATCATGTTTTACTGTTTTCCACGGATTTTCACCACTAACTTTACAACCTTAAAGGTATGGAGTTGACAGACTTAAAACTACCAACATAAAGGTCATATATACCCGGTCTCAAGCAGTTGTATCTTCGCTGTTACAGTCAAGCTTCCAGGTAGACAATACTAAATCTAACTCAACTTTTTTTTTCTTCCCCAGTAACTCAAAAAATATCATTCCGTAGCGTGGAGAACCAGAAAAATGACAACTGTCCATACATCTCTGACAGTACACAAGATCATGGCATTAGATGCTAACAAGTGTAAAATTAGATTGAAAGAAATCTAATGGAGACCAAACCAACATGTCACTGATTGTTGTTTGGAGTCTTGTTGATGAATGAAGACTACCTAATTCCATCCATTGTGATAATATTGATAGATGGTCACAGATCGTAGATTATACGGCATAAAATAAAACGCAACAATGTATATTCATACTTAAATTAGATGGTGGTTGGAGGTAGTCGATAGGAAACCCTGGATCCGGGTTTCGTGCTACTTGGCACTCGTCAGCAAGGTGTACCTGTAATCTTGAGGGAACTGGTGCTCCCTGACGGATTCGATCCCGTGTCACCCACATACCATTCGATCTGCACTAAATAAGGACTTGACACACATGACATTGATCACCACCCAGTGATCAATCAATTGTGATTATATATCCATATTTATTATCTTCCCCCCTAAGTTTTTGATTGTCATGCCTTGGTCAAATAGATATAAATGTCACGTACCAAAATTTCTAGCTCATTAGAAGCTTGTGAATAATAAAAGTGTTGACTCGGCTTCCGGAGAACTTCAACGGAGCCTCCAGAGGCCCAAAAGGAGTCGAAGGGTCCTAGCCAATCAGAGTATGATGGAACATTCGAGAATTCCAATGTGGCGTGCTACTATTAGTCGGTAGCATAATATGTCGTTAACGGATTGGCTGAAAATATGATGTTGATTCAACAGACGCCAACATCTATAAATACCCATGATTTTCTGTACAAAAATAAACCTTGGGATAAAGTATTTTCTCTCATACTTGAATTTACCTTGGTAATCCTTAATCATTCTATGGCCTAGGATAACGCGACAATTTCTTATTCTTTCTCTCCCCTTTGTTATTTTACTTGAATTTTCATTTAATTGACCTTTATTAATTTTCATACAAAAATGCACTGACAAGTATATGTGTGACCAGATTGTTCGAAATGTATAGCGCAAATACATCACATTTTTCAGATCAACTCCGTCTTCTTATTGTTCTATCTCATACTTGTGTCTTCTCTCTGGTGTTCAAGTCGCTGTGTAGCCCCCAAATGCCCTGGTACGGCCGAGAGTGGGGAAAGTCCGCTCTCCCTCTCCAAATGCACTCACATGGCCACGCGTATATAGTCTCTGCCAGGGAAGTCCTACTCACTGCCTTCTCGCACCACGGGTGTTGTTTACGAAATTGAGAGGACGAAAAGCGAATGTCCAGCGCTTTAACCGGATTCCAAACCAATGGTGCACATGGGCTCCAGCATCCTGAGGGAACAAATGGAGTATGGACCAATCGTTGGTCACTGGCTTCCATGGGACTGTATCTCCTTACGATGCTCCACTGCCTTGTGGGTCAGACCTTTAGGTCAAAGGCTCGGGGAGTGGCCCTCTAATAAAACCACCTGCTTCGGTTTTGGCACCCGGGCAGTATCACAGCCCTCACACATATCGAATAAGATTTGTATGGCGCATATGTATTTGGTGCCTTCTTGTACCAATATCTATGTGTTAAAATAAATAAATAATAAATAAAAATGTGTAGTTCTAGACTGCGGGTTACTAGAATAGCTTAGGAAAACGAATATAGCGTTCGATCGACCAGACTTATCAAAAAGGTAAAAAAGTATGCAATATATAAACAACTAACTTTAAAATATAAATTATCTTCTTTATTTGTAGTAAACACTGGACAAACTTGACAATCTCCACATGATTGAATATTAATTCGATAACCTAATAGATCACGATATGATGTACGAAATGTCATTTTTGCTTTATCAAATAATTCCATTAAACGATCACTACGTAAACGTTCAACACGAAGTTCTTCTTTGACTTCTATTAAGATTTTTTTTTAAAAAATAGTCGACAGGAGAAAAGAAAACAGTTAAGTTTCAGTTATCTCTAAGGATTGATTAATCTAATGACGAAGATTTTCTTATAGGTGTTTTGTAGACAAAATCATTAACACGGAGTTTGGTGTTGATAAGAATGTTCGATTAATAATGTAGAATAGATGGAATATGGTTAATAATGCAATCAATCCAAGATGAACACGTTCGCTCTTATTTGAGACTGGTCCGAGTTGGATGTACCTGTATTCCAATATCAATATTCACTGTGGAATTCCAATCCGGTACTATTCGTTTCAAATGCAAACATATTATTCATTTAGTTTCTGGATTCATATAGCCACCTACTTGTGGAACGGGTATGAATTTTAATTTCATTTATACTGGTTCAAATTCCGTAGTGAGTAACAACTCTAAGAAGTAAACACATCCATCCGGTAAATCTCTAAAAGGCATGAAACATACATCCCGGATTCAACTACTGGCCACATTCCATCTACTCTATGTAAAATTGTATCACAATGGCTATATATCTAGGGAATTTACACAGAATGTACTTATGCCATTACTAAGATGCAAGATACAAACCACCCTTTATGTAGTTCAGTTCAAGGCAACCGAAGAGTAGTAGTCTTCAAACCAATGGGAGACATAACCAAAACAAAGAAGTAAACAATGACAAAGTTAAGGTCAATAAGAACCAATTAACGTCGAGGTGTACAGAACAAGCTATGAAACGTATATGCATAAATTCGAACACTTCACTTCTATCTGAAGTTTGTGCTGATGATGTCGTTCAGAAGAACGATGAAAGTTCACGACCAAACCATCCAGCTCAGAGAACAAAACTCCATCAAATCATCCACCTAAGCTACAAATCTTCTGCACCATCTACATAAATGGATTACAGTATTGTCGACCATTAATGGTCTACTTTGAATCAATGGACCTATACATTAAAACGAGTATAAAAGGGTCCAATACCATGAAAATATGATTGTTTATATGAATAAATTGGAATCAGTAAGTTGAATAACAAGAAAATAGTAAATTAAACTTGATATCCCACACATATAAATATTTCGATAGTGTAACTCCAAAAACTCACTACCATCTACATGTAAGTTTAATAATAAAACTGATTGTTTTCTTGAAACACATGGTATACAAATGTTATTCACACGGTTGAAATCACAAGTCGATCTTGAATAGATCAGCATTGAGAACCTAGGAGTATTGGATATCAATTTAGTCCCAGTATGGAACTCTTCAACAGTCCGTATTCATGACCACGCATGCAAACACTTAACCGATAGATCAATGAATCAGCATACAATTTTGTTAATGTCTAACTTCAATCAATTGATAATCTTGCGCAACCGTTCATTTATTGTCTAAGATGGATAATTGTCTCACGTCCCATATGGATTGGACTCCATTGGTCACGGTTTCTCACTCAAACTCCAAGAAATCCATCCTGAAGCTAGTCACTAGTAAGCGCGCGAGACCGAGAGTCCTGGATTCAAGTCCCGTGGGAAGGATCGTGGCGCGGACTACTGAGGAGTCCCGTATGACGACGAAATGGTCATCCAATGCTCTTTAGTTTTTAGTGGTGATCTAGGTAAGATCAACTCGTGATTTCAACCATGAAAATCCTACATTCTTCACAAATTCCGATGTTGATACAAAGGATATGTTTAGTAATACAACACTTTAACACTGAGTAATAAAAAACTGATGACAAGATATTTTTAAAAATTAATCACGGTATGATAATTCACAAATACCATGCATGGCCCCAAATGAACTGGTACGACCGAGAGTGCTCTCAAGTAGCCACGTGCACACAACCACTGACAGGGAAGTCTTACTCACTGCTTTCTCGCGGCACTACTGTTGTTTATGAAATTCAGGGGACGAAAAGCGAATGTCCGGTGCTTAACCAGGATGGAGGATTCACCTAGGGTAGTTGAAAAATCCTAATTTCAAACCAATGGTGCACATGGGCTGGCTCCAGGATCCTGAAGGAACAAATGGCATATGAACCAATACTTGGTTACTGGCTACCATGGGACTGCATCTCCTGACGTTGCTCCACTGACTTGTGGATTAAACCTCTACGTCAAAGGCTCGGGGTTTGGCCCCGTAGGAAAACCACCTGTTTCGGTTTGGGCACCACTGCAGTATCTTAGCCCTCACATAAATCGAATGATTTATGTGGCACATATCTATCTGGTGCCTCCTTGTACCAATATTAATGTGTTTAAATAAATAATAAATAAGAATATTCCATCATGATTTATACTATCACTGATAATGTTATTAATTCGACAAGGGCGTTGGAGGGAGATGATATTTGAATAAACTCATTTTGTAACGAATTGAATTGAACAATATAAAATAATCTAAACTTATTTGTACCTGCAAGTTCTGTTAATGGATCAGGATTGGAACGTATACGATTTTCTACAGTATTAGTAATATCTAATTCCATAGTTACATCGTTATTTTGATTTTGACAATCACGTTTCTCTGATAAATGTATAATACGTTCTTCTAAAACCTAAAATTAAAGATATAAATACATATATAGACTGGGTACAATTAATTATAATCAATTTGATAATCATTTTTTCTTGGTAAAGATAGTTTCATATATCAGATTAATGGGCTGAACGGTTAAAGATTCATATGAGCCCTGGCATGCCCGAGAGTGGAGTGGGACAGCCTTCCCTCTCGAAATGCTCTCACATGACCACGTGTATACAATCTCTGCCAGGGAAGTCCTACTCACTGCCTTAATGTGGCGGGGGTGTTGTTTATAAAATTGAGAGGACGAAAAGCGAATGTCTGGCGCTTCAACCGGATCTCAAACCAATAGTGCACATTGGCTCCAGCATGCTGAGGGAACGAATGGCGTGTGAACCAATCGTTGGTCACCGGCTACTATAGGACTGCATCTCCTTACGATGCTCCACTGCCTTTTGGGTCAGACCTTAAGGTCGAAGGTTCCAGGTGTGGCCCCCTAAGAAAACCACCGGCTTCGGTCTGGGTACCCGGGCAGTATCACAGCCCACGCACAAATATAATGAAAACGATTATATTTACTAAAAACTCTATTCTTACTGTGGCGCATATATATTTGGTGCCCTCTTGTACCAATATTTATGTATTCAAATAAATAAATAAAAGTCCTGGTTTCTATCCTTAATGAAGTGGTAGATGAGTATTGTTGAGTAGGTTCAAATAATAATCGATAACAATCTAATCAATGATAATCACTTTATGAAAGTATGATGAAATTTTACAAATTGTTGTTATTAAAATCACTTTCTATTTCCTTTTCTATTCTTTTCGAATCAATTTTATGCAAGTCGGCATTCCACTTTTGATTAACGCTAGATACTACTTATCTCTGTCAACAGAAGTAGCATATATTATAAGACCATTCTTTTTTGTTTAATGATCGGTTATCCTAGGTTTGAGTCCCGCAAGCCAAATCAAAGATGCACATAACTGAGGAGTCCCATAGTAGGGAGGAACGATCGTCCAGTGTTTCCAGAGTTTCAATGATGGTCTAGTTTAGATCGACTCATGACTTCAGCTATTAAAATAACTTATTGTCTTTCATATTCTTTACAACATATTACTGATGTGGGATTTTAATGATGTGGAACTACAACTTTTGAGATTGTCATATTTATATTTTAGTTATTTGAACACATAAATATTGGTACAAGGGGGCACCAGATACATATGCGCCACACAATAACAATGAGAAGAGATAAAGAATGTAAGCTGTGTATAGAAAGGGAAAAAAGAGCAATAACGACCACAAATTAGTATATGGTAGTAAAATAATAATAATAATGGGAGGAAAAAAAAGGTACAACCGGAAAGAATCCTTTCAGTCAAAGAAGTTACGGTCACTTCTTATGAAGAAAGTAAAAGAAGGTTACAGCAGGGTCTCCACTGGCTTCTATTCTGAGCCATATCTGATAACATCTCTAGCCATTGTGTCACATCAACCAGGGAATCGTGAAGGACAGACAAAAGCCAGTCCTCTACAACTTTCTTTCATACTATGACACCATGTCATACACTGACTACCTTTCCGCTTTTTCCAACCAGTCCCAGCGTCGGCAAATAATGCACGATATGGAATTCTCTGGGACGACATTCGTAGAATATGTCCAAGCCACCGAAGTCGATGTTTTAAGATGGTGACACCAATTGGATTATCGTTTCTGCGCCCGAACACACAAGAGATTATCATGGGAAGTAGTATTATTTTTATTTTATTGTCTAGTTAATAAACACTTAGACTGCTACATTTTTACAATCCTATTATTTCGTTTGATCTATAAATCGTTGTTGTCATATGTCATATTATCCCAGATTTATCATGATCTAATTATTCCCTTATTACTCTTATGTTGCATTTTTACTCATATCTGAATGGAGTACATTAAGGAATTAATCATCTTCGAACTAACCATTGAGGTCAAATAAGTTCGAATACCAATAAGCGTAAAGATCTCGGTTATTTTTTATTGGTTGCTATGTCAACTAATACTTGAGAAGTTACCCATCCGACTGACAATATAGATAAACTAATTGATAATTGGATTAGAGGGAGAAAACTCATAACTGCTTTCTTTTCATTACGTTTCGATTACATGGGGCCCAATACAATCCAAATCTAAGAAAACGACCTTCCATTTTCTTTCGACAGAACGATTACTATTCCGTTTTACGCAACTCATTGATTCCACTTTTCACTCTTTTTACTAAACTCTGACTAATTACACGATTATAATCTTCTAATAATTGCTAATTGTTACAGAACAAACACATTCATGCTTCAACTTAACACCTCATAAATATATAAGACACTTGATAAAACGATGGATAATCAGTTGATTTGTTAGGATTTATCGACACATCAAAAACTTGTCTTGGCCTCAAGTACTTGTCAATTAAGCGCTGCAGTCACAGTTGCAAGTCGCTAAGGCCCTCACTAATCCAGTTCCTTTTTCATGTCCCCTAAGATGTATTTTTCTTCACTAAGCGAGAAACCGTTTTTTAGCAAGTTAGTTTTCAATGGGATGGGGTCGCTAACCCCGTGCCCAAACCTCCTCCTTTATCCGTGCTTGGGACCAGCAGTAATCTCAGAGGGGCCCCAGGCGGAGCGCCGGAAGTGGATAGGACATACATTAAAGAAAGCACCCAACTGCGTCACAACGCAAGACCTCATCACTTGGAATCCTCGAGGCCAAAGGAGATGAGGAAGACCAAAGAACACATTACCCCGAGAAATGGAGACAAACATGAAAAGAATGAACAACAATTGGATAGAACTAGAAAAGAAGACCCGGGACAGAGTGGGGTTGGAGAATGCTGGTTGGAGGCCTATGCTCCTTTGGGGTTAACAGGCGTAAGTATATAAGTAATTAAGTGAGCAACTGGAACATGAAAACTTCCCCCACACCTCTAAAGCCACGCGAGATCACCACATTCATCACCAAATTACTGCATGTCAACAATTTCGTGAGAAATTTCCAAAAGCTGGGAAAAGTCCCGAAAATACTTTGAGCAATCAAAGTTATTTTTTGGAAGCGTTTAGGGGCAACTCCACGGTCTCAATATCGTTACAACTAGACTATTCAGGTTGTAAATGATCTCATATAGGATTACGACATTTAAAATTGGCTTATCATTGAGTGGAGGAGAGAGCATCAACTCCCTCAATATTAGACGTATACCTAGCTGATGAATACCAAATAGCACGAAGCTCACGTTTACCACGGTTTCTCACCAACAGTCTTCAACTACTTAATATCAAAGTATAGTGCACAGTGTGACGAATCATTTGGTGACCACATTATAACGATATACAAAATTTGATCAAGAAGCATTAAAGATTATTATACGAACACAACATTCGATATCACCCAGTGATTAACTAATTGTAAAGTAAACCTTACTTGAATACGTTGGCGTTGACGCTCAGTTAACAAACGTAATTCAGTAATTTCATTTGATAAATCCTGTTTAATTATTTCTCCCGGGTGGTATTTATAAGTTAGATTTTAGTCGTTCCTGTGTTGCACATACCCTGGATGTTAAGAAGAAAACAGAAACCAGTTCAAAGAAGAAGGAATTCTCAAGAAATAAGTAATAGTAGGCGAACAGATGAATCATAATGAAAAACTGCTATGATGGGATATTATGGAGACTGTTGGGACTATAAGTTGATAATGAAAATCTGCGATCAATAATGTTCCATCATGTCGATCATGAGACAAATATCACCAATGACTAATACTGGAACCACTGGACACCGACTTAGTGATGTGATTGAATGTTAAGTGGTCTCTGAAAGGTTTGGATTCAATCCCTGGGAACGGTGTGGATGAGAACTAACGAATCCATTACTGAGATTAAATGACTTTTCAGTGCTTTATGACCAATAATAGTTATGTTACTAAGGTGAGTCTTGCGTTTATTCGTGAAACTGACCCAGTATTTCGAGTTCTTAGTCTTTTTGTGTAAATGAGACCCTATACTACTTATCATTATCCAGTAGTCTGACCAGTAGTAAATTATTTTTATGATTCCGACATAGAGGTATATAGTATTTTTTGTCACAGTGAACTGTAGAACTAAATTATGCTGGATGTCCTGAAACGAATAGAATCGATCATCCAGAATGAAAAGAGAACTTCTCAAACTCACACACGGTGTTTGAAACACGATTATAAATGTCCTGCTACTGGACAAGATTTCACAATTTGGAGAATCTGGATGATATTGACGATAGATCACCACAGAATATTGGAATAATGAGAAAAATCGTCTTGTGCGACAAAGAATAGGCAATGACATTCAGAGAAGGCAGAGATTTTACAAGTGGAGTTGTTTTGAGAGTGTTAGGATTAGGATACAACCATTTCAAAACTCTAGATTCTTTGTAATTTTATCGTTTCTTTTGTAATATGGATTTCATTTACGGAATTGCATCCCCATTGCTTTATGTCTCAGAGTCACTCATAGATATTCCTATTTTATGGTACATCTCCCAAACTGTAAACAGTATTTCTCCTTACCATAATCAATCTAACATCTACTGTGTATGATACTGTTAGGAACTGTGTGTATTTGAACTGCCTGGCGATTCTCAAAATACAAAGCGTGTAATTTATCCTGTTTAGTTATTAATAACTATTTAATACAGCTTGACTTGTTGCTTTGTGATTAATAGTATATTGTAACTTCAGTCTCATTCGCTTATCTGAAGGATACATGTTCTCTGAGACTGCCCTTTTAACAGTATAGTTATTGACGTCCAGCACATTTGACAATTCCAGTATGTATGTATTTTTTATTTACAGTCACTGCAAGAATTTATCATCAAAGAGTTTAACACATAAAATGCCCCCAAATGCCCTGGTACGGTCGAAAGTGAGGAGAGTCCGCTCTCTCTCTCCGAATGCTCTCACATGGCCACGTGTATACAACCACTGTCAGAGAAGTCCTACTCATTGTCTTCTCATGGCATTACTGTTGTTTACAAAATTGAGAGGACGAAAAGCGAATGTCCGGTACTTCAACTGGATCAAAGGACACGAAGAGTCCACCTAATGGAGTTGGAAAACCCTCATTCAAAACCAACGGTGCACATCGACCATAGAATCTTGAGGGAAAAAATAGTGCATGAACCTATTGTTGGTTAGTGGTTACCATAGGTCAATGGATCAGGGTGTAGCCTTCTAAGAAAACCATCTGCTTTAGGTTTGGGCATCCAGGCAGTATTCCAACCCTCACAGAAAACAAGTGACTTGTGTGGCGCATATGTATTTGGTACCAATGTTTATGTATTTAAAACAATAAAACACATTAATATACAATGGACAATGTTATGAAATACCTGCATATTATATATCTCTAATTGATCAACTAATTCCTTATTTTTCGTTTGTAATGTTTCAATATTCTCTTCTAATTCAGTCATTTGATGTCTACAAGGCAACAACAACAAAAAACGATAAATGGAACTATGCACAAATCACATCAGTTCATCAAATGGATATTTTATAAATATAACTATTTCACAAGAACCATATGTGAATGAATGAATGAATTAACTGGTACTAAATATAATCAATGTTTTGATTCCGGAGTCAGACAAGGCTATCTACTCCCAACTCTTCCTGTTTCTTCTAATAGTTGATTGGATTATGAAGATCTCGAAATCTCAAGGAAATCACGGAATATAATGAACAGCTCAGAATCAATTAGACGATTTAGAATTCGCAGATGACCTAGCCCTCCTATCGCATACACACGAACAAATGAAGATGAAGACAACTAGTGTAACAGTAGCCTCTGCATCAGTAGGCCTCAACATGCACAAGGGGAAAACCAAGGTCCTCAAATACAACACGGAGAACACCAACCCAATCACATTTGATGGCGAAACTTTGGGAGATGTAGAATCCTTCACGTACCTGGGAAGCATCATTGATGAACAAGCAGGATAGGATGCAGACGTAACAGCAAGAATTCGTAAAGCAAGGGTAACATTCCTACAATTGAACAACATATGCAACTCAAAACAACTGTCTCTCAACCAATATCAAAGTCACAATCTTCAATACGAACATCAACACAGTCCTACTCTACACAGAGCTGAAACATCGAGAACTGCTACAACCATCATCAAGAAAGTACAACTATTTATAAATAGTTGTATACACAAGATACTCAACATCCATTGGACACATACCATCAGCAACAGTCTACTGTGAGAGACAATAAACCAGATTCCAGTTGAAGAGGAAATTAGGAAAACACGATGGGAATGGATAGGATACACATTACGGAAATCATCAAACTACATAATGAGGTAAGCCCTAACTTGGAATCCTGAAAGGAAGTGGAAAAGAGGAAGACTAAAGAACACATTACGTCAGGAATAGAAGCAGATATGAAAAGGATGAATAACAACAACTGGAAAGAGCTGGGAAGGATGGCCCAGTACATGGTTGGATGGAGAGTGGTGGTGGGCGGCCTATGCTCCTCCACGAGGAACAACAGGCGTAAGTAAGTATGTAACTGTGGAAAATGACATTTATTTCATCCGTTCAAGTTGCCATATCAAATCAGAATCTCTAGATAGAATTACTTAAATAAATGACACAATAATAGAAGTATCAGGAACATTATTAGTGGTAATGGTAGTAGAAAATATGATTTGAGAATGGATTCATAGAATAAAAATTACAAAGTCATTTAAAAAGCCCCAAATGCCCTGATACGGTCGAGAGTGGAGAGAGTTAACTCTCCCTCTCCAAATCCTCTAACACGACCACGTGCATACAGCCACTGACAGGGAAGTCCTAGTCACTGCCTTCTAGTAGCGGAGGTATCGTTTACGAAACTGAGAGGATAAAAAGCGAATGTTCGGCGCTTTAAGCGGGTTCTTGGACACGGAGCGTCCACCTAGGGAAGTTGGAAAACCTTGACTCCAAACTAATGGTGTACATGGGCTAAAGGATCCTGAAGGAACAAATGATGTATGTACCAATCATTGATCGCCAGCTACTATGGGACTGCATCTACTGACGTTGCTCCACTGCCTTGTGGATCAGACCTTTAGGTCCAAGGCTCCTGGTGTGGCCCTCTAAGAAATATTCAATGACTATGATATTGGTTCGATTCTTGTTAACTTTCTTGCAACTTATCTTAACCTCAGCAAACAACAGATGTCAAAGTAGATGGTGGATGAAGATACAAAACCTATATGTACAAGGATCTTGTAGATAATCATTTAGAATATAGGAAATAATAATAATTTACCGTAATTTTTTCACCAACTCTCTATCTTCTTCATATGTTGAAGAATTTAATAATGGTGAATCAGTATATGAATCATTTGTCTGGAAATATAGAAGTTTTTAAAACTAGAATGAAATCGGTTTTACATCATAGAATGACTTATTAAACAATCATTGAAAACTAGGTAACATTCAACATTTAACTGTTTCATCCTATATAAGATGGTAATTGGAGGTTGTTGATATTTACCACTCGTCAACAAGGTACAGATGTAATCGTGAGAGAAATGGTGCTCATTGCCGAATATGATCCCGCATCATCCAACTTTAGAACCATAGACATTATCACTGAGTTATTTAAGTTGCAACTAACCTCTTGTAAGACTGAGATGTATTTACAACTGAATGATCACTGAGTAGTGAACAATATCAGGCACATCAAGATCTTCTTAGCGTTGATTAGTGGTGTCTGACTGTGACACAGGATCGAATCTGTCAGGGGGTATCAATTCCCTAGACACTACAGGTTCACCCTGGTTACAAGTGCTAAATAGCACGAAAACGAGTTCAAGAAAGAATCCTGCCGGCTACCTTCTCAATATAGTGGGCACGATGTCGAGTGACTTAGACTAGAAGTAACCACATTGCAATTTGATTGATGGGATTCGATCAGCACTAAGAAGTACTCGACATTGATAACTTTAAATCAGTCGATCAGTTGCTAATGTTTCGTTCTAATCCGGGACTATTAGTACTACCACTCAACAATGAACATCTATAGCCCCGAACAACAGACTTAATACCTGACAGTTTTATACCATAACTGACACTGTTTTGGAATAACATTCCTTTCACTTGTCTTGTCTTCTTATTTGTGAGTTGAGAGGATTATAGCGTTCGAGTGCTCAAGTTATACGCGGTATATTAAGAATCTAAGCTTTAGATATAACAGTAGAAGTATCTAATCATACATGTGATATATATTATGTTTATAGAAGAGACTTGATTGAATTGAATTTTAATTATTCTTTGATGAATATATATGTATATTATGTGTAAAATAAGCCAGTGGAATTAAGCAGTGAAATCTAAACTGTATGTTTTATTCAATTCTAAACGTATGAGCTAGATGTTAAAACAGTCAGTCAGTCAGTAACAACGTAGAACTTCGTACGTACGTACATCAGTTCGAGTTACCATACCACATTAGCACAGAGATGCAGTTGTCGACTCAAATTCCGTAGTGGTAGAGGTAGTAAGAGTATAAGCAGTAATCGGAAGGATTAGGATTTGAAGATGTTATTCAAGGAGTATAATTCAGTGAAAGAAACGGAAATGAAGAATTCAGAAGATTAGAATTCGGGAGAACACTATGAGTGGATACACCTGAGCTGTTGAAAACGATTTTGAACCTTGTCATTCAAGGTCTCTAAGCATTGGTTGCTATCATCTCGCGGTCCCCAACCAGGTAGTCTACACCTACCAACATGGCTTAGTCCACTTGTCAGTGACTTCATGGACTTGTGCCATGTTTCGGTCTGACCGAACCTAGCTTTCTTCCAACCTACTTCTACAACATAAAACATCGCATGTCGGGGCAGTCGGTGGTTGAGCATACGTAACACGTATCCCAGCCATCTCAACTGATGAAGTTTCACTACTTCATCAATTGATTTGCCATCCTTACCTAGTACCCATTTCCTAACAACTGCATTACTTACTCCGTGGTCCCAGGATGTACGAGCAATGTTTCGAAGATACCTATGATCAAACACTAGTAACCTACGAATATCCTCTACTCTTACCGGCCATGTTTCACTGCCATAAACTAGGACAGAACGAAACATCATCATGATGTTTATATTCCACATTGGGACTCGAACCTAATAACTTTTGCCTCAAATTCTAACGAAGATACTAAGATAATTATTGGATTTCAAAGTGATTTTCTAACAAAATTTATACGTACACACACACACACAACATACATACATAGATAGATACTACTTAAACTTACTTTATTTAACTTTTCTGTTAACTTGAATAAATTATTTAAACAAATTGTACATTCATTATAATATTCATTGAAATCATTGAATAATTCATTGAAATTAGACATTGACTTTTGGTATTCTAATGGAATATTGAAGGTATCATTCTCACGTAATATATAACTATTGAATAAATTTTGACATAAATTATGTTCCTATAAAAGAGACGAAGAAGAAGAAATGTGATGGTGGAGATTTATACTCTGGTCCCTAAATGCCCTGTTACAGCTGAGAGTTGGAAGAGTTAACTCTCCCTCTCCAAATCCTCTCATATGGCCATGTGCATACAACCACAGTAAGGGAAGTTCTCCTCACTTCCTTCTTGTAGCAGAGGTCTTTTTTTATGAAATTGAGAGGACGAAAAGCGAATGTCCGGCGTTTTAACCTAGTTAGTGGATACAGAAAGTCTACCTAGGGAAGTTGGAAAACTCTCATTCCAAATCAAATGGTGCACATGGGCTGGCTCTAGTATCCTGAAGGAATAAATGGTGTATGAACTAATTGTTGGTCACCGGTTACCGTGGAATGCATCTCCTGACGTTGTTCCCCATTCCTTGTGGATCAGACCCTTTAGGTCGAAGGCTCCGGGTGTGTCCGCCTAAGAAAACCACCTGTTTCGGTTTGGACAGTCGGGTAATATCACAGCCCTCACACAAATCAAATGATCTATGTGGCGCATATCTGTTTAGTGCTTCCTTGTATCAATGTTTGTCTTTAAATAAATGAACAAATAAGTAATCTCTTACCCGAATTTTTTTCAATTCTCAAGCTTCATATATCCTGAAAGACAATATCATCTGACGATTTTCATCATACAAGGAATGCCTCTAATGATCTAGTTTCTTTTTCTGTTTACTTTTGTCAATAAATAGTAGTTCTGATGAACAAGGAGATCCTTGATAACTTTCCTCTAATTTATATTATTCTACCAACCTTTGATATCTATCTGATTGGTTATTTCCGCATTTAGTTTGGTATTGTTGTCATACATTATAAGGTTATAGCAACTGGTAATGTAAACAGAGTTGTTATATGACGATTTCGACTTCTTGAAATATGAAGCTTTTACTGAGTTTCTGTCTTCTCTTGATAATTGTATGGGGAGATTATCATTTGTGAAATAGTCATCAAGCTCTCTAGAATGTATAGATCTCACTCGTACTAGAAGACCTTTTCCAATGGTTTATACTTCGGAATAGTCGGAGTAATTTCAGAAGATAACACAAAACTAAAGTGTCTGTGTTTGACCCCCCCCTCCCAAGGAGCTTGCAAGTACACACTGTTGAATGATTTGGCAACAGACTCTAGGTCATACGTATTTTTAGAGGTGTTGTGTTAAATACAAAGTCAGAAATTCATAGGGTTTGACCCCTGATAAGTTTAAAGGTTCGCAAATTGATGAAGAGTCTCGAACTTAAATGAAACAATCATTTAGTGCTATCTTATTTTTAAATTGTCCAAATAAATGATACCAATCAGACTGGAAGAATAGATCAACAGGATATAGGTGAACAAAATCGTTTACTACTATTAAACGAATGCACCACCTTAAATCCCATTCAATCTGTTCATGTTCAGATATTTAGGTCAGAAGATGAATAGGTCAATGTTGGTTTCTTTTCTCTTCTTGAATATGCTAGTTATCACTCCTACCCTCTAAATATTAATATATACAGTCGAATATAGTGTTTTCTCCTTCCGGAAATACTTTTATACAGCTGCACGCTTTAAAAATCTAAGGAAGTTCTACTCTACAAGTTTACATGGGTGGGTATGTTTTTACCTAACTGAGGTAGCTATACGAGAGGTCTGGCAAATAAGCCAAGTTAGTAGTTACGAAAAGTTCACTTAAAGCAGTTACAGAACTCTAGTTTTAACCAAACTGATGATGTGCATATGCTTCAGCACCCTGTGTAAATGGATCCCAAAAGAACTTACTACAGCTACCATTTACTAATAGGATATCATCTCTTGATACCGCCCCACTGCTTATAGACTAGATATTTAGGTTCAAAGCCACTATGGTGGTCACTGATAATAAGAAAACCAATTGTCTTCTACACACAAGTAATGATGATCATTTCTAACACGATAATATTAGGCTATTTAATAAACTGGCTTCATATTATCTCACTGATTAATTTTTGACCCTTCTCTGTAATGTAACGATATAACCATCAGGTTAATAAAATAATATTGTTAATACCCCCCAAATGCCTTGGTACGGTTGAATGTGCTGAGAGTCAGCTATCCATCTCCAAATACTCTCACATGGCCACGCGAATGCAGCCACTATCAGGAAAATTCTACTCACTGCCTTCTCGCAACAAAGGTGTTGTTTATAAATTGAGAAGACAAAAAGAGAATGGTCAGTGGATATAGAAGGTCCATCTAGAGGAGTTGGAAAACCCTCATTCTAAACCGATGATGCACATGGACTCCAGGATCCTGAAGAAACAAATGATGAATAAACTCATTGTTAGTCACCGACTACCATAAGACTGTATCTCCTAACGTTGCTTCACTGCCTCATAGGTTAGACCTCTATATCAAAGGCACTGGGTGTGGCCTCCCAAAAAACCGCTTGTCTTAGGTTTTGGCACACAGACAGTATCACAGCCCTCATACAAATTAATGGTAACTGCTACTAGCCTCATTGTTATTGTGTGGTGCATATGTATTAGGTACCCCCCCACTTGCACCAATGTTTATGTATTCTTCAAATAAACTAATAAGTAAATAACCAGGATGGGTTTTGTGGATATTATAGTAATTTTAATGGTTAAGATCATGAGTCAATCGAAGCTAGGTCACTATGGAAAACCTGAAAGCACTGGACGGCCGTTTCGTCATAGTTTGGGACTCCTCAGAAGTGCACATCCATGATCCCGCCTCCCCCCGCGAGATTCGAACCCAGGACTTATCAGTCTCGCGCGCGAGCGCTTAACCATCAGACTAATGAGCCGGCATCCAACGGAATTAATGTCTGACTTCAACTAATCCACGAGATTGCCCCATCATGAGTCCCATACTAGGACGAAGCGGCTGTACAGTGTTTTCAAGTAAATAACCCCTAACTCCTTCCCTGGAGATAATAACATAAAATGGACTGGGGAAAAAAGATGATAAAACAGAATTTGTTTGTTTTTAAAAAAAACTTACATACCTTCGTTAAAAGTTGAACAATTTGATTACCTCTTTTACATATTTGTTTTAAATCATTCAATTTACATAGAATACTTTGTAAATGATTATTTAATTGAGTTTGATCATTTTGAGTTTCTTTTAAAATGATTAATAATTCTTTGTTTCTAAAAAAAAGAGATAATTAGAGAAGAGAAAAGATAAGGAATATTAGATTAATAATGGTTACAGATGAGGTTTATATGACATTTCATACCATCATCACCAACACACCAACCCCATCTAAACGAATATAGTCTGGTCAACTCTGATTTATCACTGGCCCCCCAAATGCCATGGTACGATTGAAGGGGAGGAGAGTCAACTCTCCCTCTTGGGATGCTCTAATATGGTCACGTGAGAAGTCCTACTCACTGCATTTTAAAGGCGGGAGAATTGTTTACGAAATTGAGAGGATGAAAAGTGAATATCCGGCACTTTAACTGGGTTGGTGGATGCGAAGGATCCATCTAGGGGAGATGATGAATCCTGATTCCAAATCAATGGTGTACATTCGTTCAAGAATCCTGAACCAACTATTGGTCACCGGCTTCCATCAGTCAGTCAGCTACAATGTAGGACCAGACACATATATGCATCGGTCCAAGTTGCCATACCTCATTAGCACAACAAGATCAACACCGGATTCATAGAAATAGTTAATTCAATGGTGGTAATATATAAAAGAAAGATTGCATATGAGGATATAGAACAGTAAGAAAGAATTACTTGGTAGAAGGAAAGATATGTAGCGATTTCAACCTCATAATTTAAAGGAAGACAGAGAGTGTATACACCGACGCCATTGTGATCGATTCTGAGCCATGTCACCTACGGTCTCCAACCATTGGTTATGATAGTAACGAAGACCCCATCCAAATAGTCTGCATCTACCAACATGGCTCAGATCAGAAGTTAGTGACTTTGTGGACTGATGCCAGGCTTTGGTTTGGCCACCCCTAACTTCATCAAATGAAGTAGTTGGCATATGTGGTACGTATGCCTAACTAATGTTTACCTCAAGTGGCGATGTGTGATGTAGCAGCTCGGAAGAAGGTTAGAGGCGTTCAAATCAAGACATAGCACAGTTCGTAAGGTCATTGACAGTTGGGCCGAGATATGTCAGGTCCTTTTTTATGTACAGCTGACTGACTAGAACTCAGTTGTAACTCAGTATAAGTTTTTGTACCAAATTCTTAGCTTTGTTTTCTATATGTGTAAAGATAACTATGGATTTTGTAAATCAATAACCCTTAGGGATATTCTTTTCTACCATCCTATACTATCTCATAAAACTGGTGAAATATTCAAGTGCTTATTAAATAATCAGAATATTGTGTGGCATTCCAGTGTGTTGTACGTTGTTTAGTGTGAAATTTGTTTATTAAAAGTGGAGGATAAATGTTTAAGTAGCAATTATTTGATCAAATAGGCGAGGTCACGAAGTGAATAATGATATTTATTGTAGAGTACTAGACAAATAGGGTTGGTAAGTTTATGAAATTGTAAACGTTTTCAATACATAGATCTAACTCATTGGGATAGTTAACTTAAGAGTTTGCAACGAAAATGTTAAAGATAGAAAAATCAGTTCATATAATCACGACTGTACAACAAAGCTGTATTGAGAGTATGCAGACTTCCTGGTTGGATTAAGCAAGATAATGTTTGTTTGAAGGATTTGTGTGCAGATGGATTCATTCTGTGTCGTATCTTATTTTTGTTTGTCTATCGTTTTGCTGAGGTAAACTGTAACATGATGAACTGAGACAGATTTAAGTTAGTAAAAGCCAGTCGAGATTTCATTAGACATTAATATACCGGAGCTGATAAAATTTCTAAGTGAAGCGGTCGATAAACGCGACTTCTACATTTTCTATCATTACTTCAGGAGTTGACTCAGGATAACACTGAAGCAGCATTTTGCCTTTAAAGGGATAGAATTATATTCCAAACATGTTTGGAATTTAAGTCTTGTTAAATATGTAAGATAATAATGGTTAGCCATTTTATTAAAATTATCTTATTTTTTATTTTAGCACACAGATATCGCTACAAGGGGGCACCAAACACATATGCGCCACACAAATCTCATTAGACTTGTGTGAGGGCTGTGATACTGCCCGGGTGCCCAAACCGAAGCAGGTGGTTATCTTAGAGGGTCACACTCAAAACCTTCGACCTGGAGGTCTAATCCACAAGACAGCGGAGCAACGTAAGGAGATGCAGTCCCATGGTAGCCAGTGACCAACGATTGATTCATACGCCATTTGTTCCTTCAGGATACTGGAGCCCATATGCACCATTGTTTGAAATGAGGGTTTTCCAACTCCCCTAGGTGGACTCTCCATGTCCACAAACCCGGTTAAAGCCTCGAGGATTCGCTTTCCGTCCTCTCAATTTCGTAAACAACACCTCTGCCACGAGAAGGCAGTGAGTAGGACTTCTCTGGCAGAGGCTATATACGCGTGGCCATGTGACAGTATTTCGAGAGGTAGAGCGAACTCTCCCCACTCTCTGCCGTACCAGGGCATTTGGGGGCATTTTATTAAAAAAGAAATCAATAATATGGTATACTAACTTTGCATTGATTTCACCTTGTTCTGCTAATAAAACTTCATTTTCACGTTCTAATCTTCTTATAGTTGATATAGATGAATGATTATCTGATAAAGGTGAACTATTTTTTGATATTATACTATTCATGAATGTTTCTTTTTCAAGTAGGGTATTCTCAGCAATTAATGCTCTTTCACGCCATTTTTTTAAAATTTCCACTTGATTATGTAATTCTGAATTTTCTTCATTAGTAATAAGCCATTTAGCACGTTCTTGACTAAGATTTTGAATGCAATTTTTAATCGATCATGTTCCATTTCTAATTTTGCTATATAACTAGCACCTTTCATAAATCGATCATAACCTTCTGGCATTTTAGTACGATTCGATTCTAATAGTATACGTTCTTCTAAGATTGTTTTCTCTGAAGTTAACTTCTAAAATTGTGGAGGAAACAAAACAAAGTCTTTTAAACATAAAGAATTATTAAGATAAATCATAAATCTGATAGATACTGGAGTTATAACGTAAGAAATGTTAGATATTTAATCTAACCATATAAGTGTTCGAAACTTTCCGACTTTCAGGACGTTTATTTATTTAATTAGTTAGTTGAGCACATAAATATTGTTACAAAGGGGCATTAGAGGTTGATTATGAATATAGTGGTTTTGAGTGCTGTTAGAGGTATGAGGGCGATTATCACTTCCCGGTTACCCACACCGTGGAAGGGTTCTTCTGGAGGTACATGAAAACGAAATTGGATTAAATGTGGTCATAGTGGCCTGAGAGCGTGACCGCAATGACCAAGGGACAACTGGATGAGGTCGGTCACACACAACCTTTTTATGAGTAATTTTTGTGTTAGCTCCGTACTTGTAGAGACCTCACCGCTGGAGACAGATATCCGTGGGATAAGGGGAGGTGTGTACTTTTAGGGTCGACCGTTTCTGACCCCAACCCTCCTTGTGGGAAGGCAGCATCGCTGTCATGCTGGTTATCTGAAGGAAACACCTTACCGCTGTCACACCTCTGTACAGTCAGCAGTACGATTTCGCCTTCGGACCTTGGGTTTGTTGCTTTTAGTCTTACCGCTATTTAACCGACCTGTATGACATGGTAGGACCTTGAGGAACGGTTATTCCAGCCAGTATAGGTCGGCTGCTTCATCACGACAGACAAGCCCGACCACCGCGTCAAGGTAGCAATAACGGTCGGGATCAGATACATATGTGCCCACATAATTATAATGAGAATGTGAAGAGATAAAGAATGTAAGATGCGTATGGGAAAAAAGTACAACAATAAACAGAAATTAGTGTATAATAGTGAAATAACAATAATGGGAGGGCCAGTTCAATTAGCGAAAGTACAGTCACAGCGAGTTCTTCCACTTAAAGAAGTTTTGTCCATTTTTATGAAGAAAGTTGCAGCAGGATCTCCACTGGCTTATATTCCGAACAGTATCTGATAACATCTCTAGCTACTGTGTCACACCATTTCTAGGACCCCAATCAGGGAGTCGTGAAGGACAGACAAAAGCCAGTCCTCTACAACTTTCTTTCATACTATGACACCATGTCATACACTGACTACCTCTCCGCTTTTTCCAACCAGTCCCAGCGTCGGCAAATAATGCACGATGTGGGATTCTCTGGGACGACATTCGTAGAATATGTCCAAGCCACCGAAGTTGATGTTTCAAGATGGTGACACTAACTGAATCATCGTCTCTGTTCCCGAACACACGATGCCGAACCTCTATATTACTAACATGGTGTTGCCACTGGATGTCAGCAATTCTTCCAGGATGTAGATGGTATACAAAGATAATTGAAAATGGTTATAAAAGGAAACTGCTTCACCATAAATTATGCAGAATGCTGCAATACCGCCTAGGATTTATGACTTAACAGAGATAAGATCCTATGGTAAGCTGGATGGTACACTATCGGCTTATATTGACCACAATGAAAGGTCTATATCTCCTACATCCTTGGTTACCATCAATTTTAGCTAGTTAATAAGTAAACTAGACGAAATTGTGACTATTTAATCAATACATAGAATTGTTTCACTTATATACATCGTTGGATAAATGTCAATGTCAGAAATCTTTTCAGATTTCATAATATAAACTAGTTAATTGATATTATCAGTGAATTTGATGATTAACTTCGCTAGTTATGAATAAAACACTGAAGTATATACTTTATATTCTAATTAATTAAGTAGTTTGTGACCAAATCATCAAAGACCTAATTTTTTCTCGTCAGAAACAATAACCACGACTAATTGGTTTTGATGTGAAATCTTTCATGTATCTGGGACGCATCGTTGATGAACAAGGAGGTCAATCAGTCAGTCAGTAACAACGTAGAACTTCGTACGTACGTACATCAGTTCGAGTTACCATACCACATTAGCACAGAGATGCAGTTGTCGACTCAAATTCCGTAGTGGTAGAGGTAGTAAGAGTATAAGCAGTAATCGGAAGGATTAGGGTTTGAAGATGTTATTCAAGGAGTATAATTCAGTGAAGCAAGAGTAACATTCCTACAATTGAACAACATATGCAACTCAAAACAACTGTCTCTCAACCAATATCAAAGTCACAATCTTCAATACGAACATCAACACAGTCCTACTCTACACAGAGCTGAAACATCGAGAACTGCTACAACCATCATCAAGAAAGTACAACTATTTATAAATAGTTGTATACACAAGATACTCAACATCCATTGGACACATACCATCAGCAACAGTCTACTGTGAGAGACAATAAACCAGATTCCAGTTGAAGAGGAAATTAGGAAAACACGATGGGAATGGATAGGATACACATTACGGAAATCATCAAACTACATAATGAGGTAAGCCCTAACTTGGAATCCTGAAAGGAAGTGGAAAAGAGGAAGACTAAAGAACACATTACGTCAGGAAATAGAAGCAGATATGAAAAGGATGAATAACAACAACTGGAAAGGATTGCCAGGACACGGTTGGATGGAGAGTGGTGGTGGGCGGCCTACGCTCCTCCACGAGGAGTAACAAGCGTAAGTAATTAAGCAAGTAAGTAAATGGTTCTGAATTAGTAGACTAGACCGAAGGCATGACCAGTAAATTTTTATCAGAATTTCGAATTTAAGAACATCAAAAGGAATGATATTAAAACTTTAGAAGTGTATGTCAGTGATTTAGCTACTCATTTTCAATTTACGAAATAATGAACCTGAATCTCATTCCACCTACTTTGGTTAGGGTGTAGTGAACGAGAACATAAGTTGGGACAATCGAATGTATATGAATACAAAATTACAGAATCCCTTAGTATAATCTGATAATCATACAATAAAAAATACTTCGTCTGCAAAACCGTCTCAGACTTTATTGTTCTTTCGTTTGCACATCAATCATTCTTTATTCTCATTCTCTTCTCTTCAATCTTTTTAACCTTCCGTCACCAGACATTTTACTCTCGATTGATGATACATACTACTTATAATTGTCGACATCAGTAGCACACACCATAAGAGCGGTACATTTGATTCTCATATTGTACAACTCCAAATCTAACAAACGAACATACATTTGAGATGTGATTTAGATTTTCCACTAAACTGTATGCCTTTCTTTATCAAAGTATTTCTAATATGTACATTTCCTAAGCTAGGAAACTCCTTTTATTATTTCCTAAATAACTGTTAGGTTCCAATAAGCATAATGAAATAATCGTATAATCTGATTTTATATCTTCACCTTCACTACCTAATGAAGAGTTTAGATAGTGAATTTTCGGTATTAAGATTTATTCTATTTATGTAAAACATACATTATCCGTTATATCTTGTATCGTAAAACATAATCCAAGTTTCATAAATATATGTGAAACCTGACAGAATTAACTGAATCAATTGTTTGTTTTTCAATTAACTAAGATTTCTTCTGATTGTACCAAGATTTCTTCTGATTGTACCTTTTCGTTCCGTCGTTACTACCACACTACCTTACTCCAATCTCTTCGTCATTGTTCTCTTTTTCTTTTGCGTTCCCTAGTTTTTTTTTCTCTTTCTATTTCTCTTCGAATTTTCATTGTTTTGTGTGGCGCATATATATTGGCGCTCTCTTGTACCAATATTTATGTGTTCAAATAAATAAATAAATAAATAAATACAGAATTAACTCCGTCTAGAGCCCCTTTTAGGGCTACTGCCGTTCTCAAGCCCGGATAAATGAGGAGGGTTGGATGTGAGGTTAGCGACCCCATCCCGTGGAAAACTAACTCGCTAAGCGACAGAATTAATTCTACTGAAAATCGATATTCATAGAAACAACAATAAGCTTTGAAGAATGCTCCAAATAGAAAAAAGCACGCACACACACACACCAGGATCAACTTACGGAAACTGTTGCTTTTAATTCGGATACTTCTTTCAATTCACTTGATTTTTCTTCTACATACATTTCTAATTCTTTTAATCGCCTTAATAAATTAAGGTAGAAATGAAATGTTGTTCTTTATTTTTTTAATTAAACATTCTTACTGTGAACGTAAATCTAGTAAAGCTTCTAATTCTTTGACTCGTATTTGAAGTTGAGAATGAGCAATTTGTAAATCGGTAAATTTTTTTTCATAATTAAGTACTTCATCTCTTAAACGTTCAGTTTCCTGTAATAACAAAAGAAAAAATATATATATGTAATTTGATTCATTTCCCTAGATTATTGATTATAATGAGAAAGAAGATTGTATTAAACAAAAGATGAATAGTGGCTATCAATGGAATCCAGGATGCTTGTTTTGTCCTATTTGGTACTTGTCAGCTGGATGTACTTGTATCTCAGAGTTGATGTTCAACCCAGTGCCATCCGCTTCAAACGCTATTGCCGAATTGGACGAAACACACGTCCTGGATTCCACTGCTAGCCACTATCCATCTTTGCTTATAAAGCTTTGGACTTAAGGCAATATCAAGGCAGTCCACAATCCCAAATAACAATAGGAAGATACAAGTAAACAATACCAAGTGAATTTAAAGATTGCATTAAGTTGATATTGTTGTAAATTGAGTGTTAAACAAACTTAATATGTATTTACGTAGTGTCATATAAGCTGAACTATCATTTTATATCAAGCATAGTTTAATATCAATTTACAGAACTTATGTTTCATCATAGAAATTGTTTATACAATAGAATTACTGCAATTGATATAACATGTAGAAGGTTGTGTTGGGTCGGAGTTCGAATCAGCCGTTTCATGATTTAATGTTGTGCATAGACAAGTTGTGATGTCTGGTACAATGTCAAACCCATACAGGTTATTCTAGCTTCTGGGCAAACCAGTTTATTCATCCCTTCCAGGTCACATTTTGATTTTGTTGACTAGTTGCTTATTAACACTGACTGTTTTATATGAACATAAGTGTATACGTTATTTATCTTAATCATCACGTGTCTGTAACTTATTTTTGTGTGACCATAAATATCGAGTCACGCTTGATCAAATCAATTTGTTTCACTCGGCTTTTCTGCTCCGCTTGTTATTCTGAAAGTATATCTGACTAAACGAACGCTTGAAATAAATTCCTCTAACGCAACCCGTATTTGACTTCTTATTACCACCGACACACAAACGGGGTTTACCTGGGTAATAAACGGAGTTGAATGGGATATTTATGTTCATAGCCTATTCATACGTCCATTCAAATTAGAATCAAATCAGCAGGCCACAAAGAAAGGTGTGTAACAAAACCCCATTTTAAACAATAACCTTTTTTAACAGATGGGAGTGTGCTAATCTAATTTAATCATTAGCTTGAGATGAGTAAGTTAACTAAGCAAAATTACTGAATTGTTTAGTAACTTGAAATGACAACACTATCAACCTGTGATATAATAAGCATAAACTTATCTTTGTAAAAGTCAGTCAATTATTATTTCACCTAAAAAATCAGGTGAAATTAATTAACACAACTCAATACAACACCAAAAATTAAACTCACTAAAGTCAATGATGATCCAAAGCTACTGGATGACTGAATAATAGAATTTATACGATCATCAAGGTTACGTTGAAAACTTTTCATTTTTGACTGATCTTGGCTTCTTTCAAATTCTAATAGTTGATATTTTCTTTTTAAAGAATTGTGCTCGTTAGCTAAGTTATTCCTTTCTGATTCAATGATCTAGAAGACTACATATAGACAACTTGATATTACCTCCTTTTCAGTTTTTAAATTTTTTATTTTCGACTCGTGTTTAATTTGAGCAGATGATAATGCAAATTCACTTGATGTCCTTTGTGCACGGACAATGGATAATTCAGATATTAAATCCGAGCCTGAAATATTCTAGCCATCAGTACAACAAAATAATTACCATCTATACTTTGACTTCTATAACGATCACGTAGGTCAAGACGGGAAATACTCCTTTCATCAGCCATATTTGTAGACATAAAAAAGACCCTAGAATAATAAATGAAACAGGTATGAACAATTGTAATCAGTTTATCTTGAAAATCTAAGATAAAAGTAAACTACTTTCTTTTGAAACCTACATGCTACAGATTAAAATGACTGTATATTGCGGATACGCTGCAGCCAAACAAGCTGTTTAGTGGTACATTGAGGAAATATCATTCATTAGTAGGCTACAAAACAGTAGTCTAGTTAGTAATACAAAAACATTAGTTAACTACGACGTAGTGGAGCAGGTTATAACTTTTAGGGATACTACATTTACATTATTTAAACCAGTAGATAAGTGGACAACGCGATGGCGTTTGAAAGGAACAGCAATGGGTTCGAGTCCCAGAGTGAACATCAACTATGGGATGCGGGCGTATTGTCTATGCCTCAAATGCCCTGATACGGCCAAAAGTGGGGATAGTCCGCTCTAACTCTCGAAATGCTCTCACATGGCCACGCGTATATAGTCTCTGCCAGAGAAGTCCTACTCACTGCCTTCTCGTGACAAGGGTGTTGTTTACGAAATTGAGAAGACAAAAAGCGAATGCTCGACGCCTTAACCGGGTTGGCGGACATGGAGAGTCCACCTAAACGAGTTGGAACACCCTCATTCCAAACCAATGGTGCATATGGGCTCCAGTATCCTGAAGGAACAAATGGCGTACGAACCAATTGTTGGTCACCAGCTACCATGGGACTGTATCTCCTTACGATGCTCCACTGTCTTGTGGATCAGACCTTTAGGTCGAAGGTGCTGGGTGTGGCACCCGAGCAGAATCACAGCCCTCACACAAATCTAATGAGATTTGTGTGGCGCATATGTATTTGGTGCCTTCTTGTACCAATACCTATGTGTTCACATAAATAAATAATTTAAACCCGATAATGTGGTAATCGCCAAAGGTGAGCCTGAGCCAATTACAGAGATAGAGGAATATGTAAAATTAATTCCGTCCTTACGTCGGTGCCATCGATCTCTTTTTCAATAAACCATTACCTTACAGTGATACAAGCATATGCATGTCCTCAATAGTTCGCTATGAGCATAAGTAGGTAACCATTAGTGGCGTATCATGTAAAGGTATAGCTGTGAACACCATTACCCAAGAAGTCATAGTCCCTCTGCTACATACATTTTTGTAAGTACCATCTTCACTTTCTGTATTAAGCAGTAACGTCCCTTTTGTGAATTTTTTTCGGCCTACAAATAAAAATTTCACAATTATGAATGTCGGCCAACTTAGTTCGATACGGTCATCTATTTTTTGCGTAAATATACACCGGATTGTCTTAAGACCAGGCATATATATGCATCGTCCCAAGTCGCCATACCTCACTAGCACAATATGAACATCAAATTCATAGCAGTTACTTTGATGGTAGTGATATATATACAGCAAGATCGCATATAAGGTTCTGATACAGGGAGAAAGAATGCACATGTGCATTGTAGTCTATATTTGCAACGACTTTATTAATAAAAAATGCACTGTCAAACGAGTAAAACCCCTGTTTTAGCCCTTTAAAATAGTTTTTCTTTGTTGATTGGAATCGAAATTACACGCACTGGTTATGACTGTCTTGTAAGCTGACAGAACCCAACCCCACTCACCTTGAAGTCAAAAAAGTAACACCTCTCAATTTCCAATATACAATATCTCTGTCACGAGCTTGTATAAACTAACTGAATTCTTTGTAATCGCTTCTTGTTGCTTCGGTATGTTTCCAGGTGTTTGATTATGTCTAATGAATAGTATTATAGCCACTTGACTGCCGTAATCAGTAGTACAGAATGGTCAACACTAAATATATTTGTGGTACGAGCATTAAGCAGCATATTGTCAATATACGACTGTCCACTCAAATGATTTAGACGCTAGCGATTTACTTACCATCCACTGCAGCCTGGAGCATACCGCACCTATACCTATCTTTAAATTATGAACTGTAGATATCTTATGTTCACTCTACATATACATGTAACATATTTGCGTCAGTGTGGTGACGATTTGCGGGTTCGTATATTTTGTAATTCAGTAACCAGGTAGTAGGTTGGTTGCAATATGAAAACGATAAAGCGATAAATCAAATCCTATTGGATGATTGTTTCAAGGATAGATAATCAATTTACTTGCTTGATAACGTATAGGAAGACGAAATTAAAGGAGTAGGAGAGGATTAGAGATGTTATTAAGAAATGTTGGAAACAGTTACTGTTTATGAGACGATAATAACCAAGGAATTTATGAGATATGCATCTGACGACTGGTTCAAGAATGAGGTGACGCTTCTTAGGTGAGTATGGTTCATCAATTTTCCTATTAAAGCTATGCACTTAGGCCTGAAAGAGTATTCCAAAGGAGGTCATTTTTAGATCAAACACGTAGGAGCGTGCCTAGGTGTTCGCCCTTTGATTCGAAGTCTTTCGAGGGTTATCTTGAGGAGTGAGGTGATGACGTTCTAGTAGCATGTTCGCGCTGGGGTGACTTAGGGTGCTTAATGTGTTGCAAACCATCGTCAGATCACCTCTTATTCTCCTGTAGCTCAATGGGACTAATCCCAGGTGCTAAAGTCTATCCCGGTAGTATCCACTCTTTACCCCTATCACTCACTTGGTTCCTCGACTTTGTACACAGTCTAAGAGATTTGTGTCATGTTGTGGGATTCAAGGTGTACTTTCTAAGAAGAGTTAGGAGCAATTCTGTTATGATTGATCTAAGTCTCCTTCACATAAAGTGAAGGGTTGATTTTTTCCCGATTGCGTCCCCCATTTATTTGATTCAGTATCCGAAATCTGGTTACTCTAGTCCTAGATCACGCCGTGAGAAGACAATTAGGAGCGGATTTCCATGGACAACGTAGATTGTTTGTATCCTATGTGGCCGAATGTTCATGACATGAAATTTTGACAGTTTAAGTTTCAGGATTGTAGGGAGGATACTCCACTTCCTGTTCTGTGTGTTCTATCGCATCAGAAACTGCCATGCTTCACAAGCTCTTGTTATTCGTGATACCTGGAAATAGACATATTTCTGTGATGACTGTGATCTTCTATCCGATTGGGAGCACTTTTTTCTGTTCTCTCCTGAAATATCCCCTAATCCTCTCAAAATGCACTTGACGCTTTATCTCCTCACCTGCTGCTCCTCTACAATGACATCTGTTTCTGGATTTTTAAACAAATTTCTGTTTGAAGTGGGTCGGCCAATTCTATGGTGACTGGCCGCTGCGGGCTTTGTTTTCATAGAGGATACAACTAGTGAGATCGTGGTCCGTGTCCTATATTCTTGGTCTGTAATCGAGGTCGACTGACATCAGAACATTTTATTTTATCGTCCAGTCGATTCGGATCGACTATTACATGTGATGTGATTGGGGAGGTACTTCTTCTACCTGTTCCATGCATAAAGTGCGCCAGTTAGGTTCACCAGGTTTCTTAATTTCACAGCTAACAGATGAGGAGAACTAGCTATCTTCAGTTTGTCTACCAGAAAAAGAAGACGCCGCTTGCATCCTTGAAAGCAATTAAATACTTAAACCTGATAGCAAAACCTGGACGTTTTCCTCATGTTAGATCCAAACTAAGGTTTGGACTGAAGAATAACTGTCTAGGTGGGTTAGATACGCGTACTTGCCCGGCTGAAACCAAAACAAAGTGATTGGGTAAAATGACGGTTCTGAAATTCATCATAAATTTAGATGTACATTGTTACCTAAACAAATATAACCACCCAGCTATCCAGCCAATAATTGTTCAATTATTCAGATCTAAATTACGATAAGGAAGTTGATAAAGGATGCGAAAAGAAATATTATTCTATCCTGTCTGCATACACCATGAACAGATTCGTTCAAAAGACAATATTTGGTTGCTTTATAACAATTCCAATTCTGGAAGAGTGCTTCAATCCACAATCAAAAATGCACAATTCCAGTCAATACGAGCAACGCAGTCAAAAGAAGGAACAAACCAATATGGATATCGCCACGACTAAGTACAAAGTAAAACAACATGAATGCAGTTCAGGAAGAAACACGGAAACTTAGTGAAGGCGTACGAAAAATAGAAACTATAATAAAATACAAATATTAACAACCAAAATGGGATCAAAAAGACTAACAATGTATTATTACTATTATTATTCACAGACATCTTATGGTACATAAGTGTTGTGAAGAAACCATTTCGGGTTTCTTCAAAAATGCAATAATACACGAGTTTCAATAATGTTAGCATTATATTTTGAATAATAGTAATATTGAATAATAATAATAAATCAGGTTCCGTGTAATTGAGAAGAATATTGAATTGAGTTGAAAGAAGGAAGTGGAGAAAATAAGGGAATAGAAATAAAAGAGACGTGAAATACGCGGAGAGTATTGTAGCGTGGTGTCGAGTCACGGTTGATATTGATCACGACTAGGGGAAGACTACGTGCCGGTTAACCGATAAGATCCACCGTAGGCCGAATATCAGAAGGCAGTTTATGGCTGTAGTCGAGATGTATTTGTTGGCGATCTCGTGGTATCGAAAGAATACCGAGATTGTTCCAAGTTACAAGTGCGGCTACTGAGCGTAACCGAATTCGCGCAAGGTCACAATCAAAGGAAGGAAGAATGTCCTTAGTACAGATAAACAAGCAAGTAAAACAATCACTGGTACAATTGGTTATAATAATAATTGTTTCCATTAAAACAAATGGCGTTCACTTCGTAAGAGTAGGTCACCACAGTTTGATAAGAATGTTTATCATCACAGAGAAAGAATAAACGACTATGTATTTATCGCCAAATTAGTAACAAAAATGAAGTCGAAAGTAATCGAGAAACGTATTAATGAAGTAAGATATGAAGCTAGAATAGATGTTTGTGCAGTCATAGTTTGGAGTGATGTTATGACATTCCAAATTAAGTGAAAAGGATAACCAAATATCAATATGCATGGGTCATATATGCATAGTGAAGATGAAATGAATCCGAGAAGGAAAAAACTGCAATTGTATACATTGAAGAGACTTTCACACACAAAACATTCAAAATGGATCTTACACTCTATTGATGGGACACTAACGAGGTTACATCTAACTTGAAGTGTTGAAAGAACGAGAGGATATGTCAGAGAATTTCTAAATATTGATGATTTTTCAAGTCTAATTTTCTTTGACCGAAATCTCGAAACAAACATATACTTCAAATCAGCAAATTTATGTCTGCGCGACCACACGAATATGTGGCACACGTATTCTTCAAGTCTCCTCATATATGTATGTGTGTCACACTGTATATTGTCCTATAAATAACGTGATATACTTATTTCATGCTCGTTCTTCTTATGTAGGCCTCAAACGTGATCTCAGGTCACTTTGTCAAAATCACGGTACCTCGTCTGTTACTGCTGTTTGTATCTTGTAATAAGTCCGTGATATAGTTGCGATATGTAAAATGGTGTGATTTAATTAGATTTAAATTCACTATATCTTGACCCTACAGAAATAAAACATTTTCGTGGTAAGATTTCATTTGTTCTTAAAGTGTGCTATGGAGGCAAATTCGTCTACCCAACAAGTTAAGAGAGTACATGCTATATAATCATTATTTACGCAGTTACGTCATTACTGCTCAAATCTAGACGATTATCAACCACAATCCGTAGATAAAATATGGTCACCTCAATGCTTTACTGACTGTGTATCACCCGCAAATTTACCATTGACTAGTGACTAGAAACGTCATATGAGAACTAGCCAGGTGATAATCACACTTAAAGTTGACGCATAAAATATTACGGACCACTGTCTTTAACCCTCACTTATTGCCGAAAATATACATGATCACTCAACATTTTAAAACTTGGTAGTACAGAGCATTTTTTTGAACTGCGTCGTCTATATATAGTACTGTCACTTATCTTGGTCATTTATAAGCTCGTGTCAAATTTTATGATCATTTCGTGTTCAATGAATGGCCTTCTGGGAATTGCAGCTAGTGGCTATTTTTCATCAGCCAATATACATTTGATGATGATCTGTATAGACAGTTCTGCGTAGCTATAAGGTATTTCCGTAGGGAATAAGAACCTGTTGTCAACTTTACCGCACAAAGTTAAAGAGCCAACTGACCTGATTAGACTTCAGAATAAATAAGGTGACATATAAGTCTTGTTTCAGCAGACAATCTAAACAAAAACACAATCTAATTAAATGATGTGGTAAAGCCTATATTACGCTTCGGTTCATAGCGCGACATCCAGTTATATTAACAATTCAGTTGTTCCAAAATATTCAAGTTACGTAACAATACTTCATACATAAACGTTCGTTTTAAGACGCTATCAACCTTAAAATAACCGAAAAGTCCTCGTTGAAAGCACATGTAAAGTAACAAATATGCGACGCATTGAACTACCTAATCTAGTGTGGGGCGGCTGCAAGTGTGTTGTTGTTTTCGAACAATAACGTAACAGCTAAAAGTAATTTGATATTTTTTACGACACAGGAGACCTTATTTCTTAAAGTATCTGCTTTACAAATAAATGTCTGTTGAAATATCCGTGAAAGAACTAATATCCGGTTGTAATCACATGCTTTTGCTACAAATTCCTGCTGAACTCCGAGTAATTACTATTGTGGTGGACCAGACAAATATGAACGCAAAAAGTATAAACAAAGTTACTAAAGATAAATAGTAATATTAATATATACACAGTTAATTGTTACAAATACAATAAAAATTAGGGACGTTACTTAAATTGCCCAAACGTTGCGTGTTCTGATTAGGTCCAGTAATGTAAATCCACAATTATAAATGCTTGATGACTCTGAGCAGGTTGGCGAACTCTCTAGCGATATAGTCCAACGTAGGATGTGATATATTCCGATTACAGTCTATAAATGTAGATAGTATTTGATTTAGACTTCCGTTAACTCAATCACAAATGGAAATAGAACGAGGAATGCGAGAGTAGTAATGTATTTGTTAGTCGGCAAGCATATACCACGCTATGTAGTAGCTCAACGGAAAGTGTGTTCAAGGTCAATGACTTAAACAACAGGTACAATCATTTAATGATAAATGTACATGCAGTGGGAAATTGACAAAATAAATACAAATAATATTAAAAACTATTTACAAAATAAGCTTGTCAGGTCTATCTCCACATAGCTCCCCCCAGAGTGTCCGGAGGTAACACTGGTTACAATAACAATAAGAAAAATTTTATACAAAAAAATAATAATAATATTTACAATAATAACCGATTAACAATGTGGAGATGCGTATGGCATGTACGTTAATAATATACAGTGTGTTATTGCGTGAAAATAGCGGTGATGTGGCATAGCATGACAAACAAAAGTAATGAGAATACCGTCATTTAAAATCTTGGTTTGCTAACAATGATAATAATGTACAGAACTGTTACTGAACCCAAAAAAAATGAACTGCTTTTTTTTGTGTGTGTGTACAACAAATGAATAATTAAATAGAGTTTACTCGTTTATTATTGTAACAAATTTTTTTATAAAAAAAATGTGACAAAACGAATAATTGTGGGAAAAAAATATGGTTAACTATGTACACTGTAAAAAAAATCATAGATTTTGTTGGGAAAAATCGGGTGAGTATAATGGTATAGTACATCAGTAATTGTTTGTTTAGATTTTTTCTTATTCGGCGAAATGTACATAGCGTTTGGGTTTTTTTACAGCTCTGCCTGAGCGCGTTAAGCAAGTAGGTTTGATACTCAGTTTTTCTTCCATGTCTGCTGTAGTGGTGGTTGCTGGACGGGGTTGGTTCGGTGAAGTAGTATGTTCTTTGTCGTGCTGTGCTTCATAGAAAGCAGGCTTTATTCTATCGATAGCAATAGTCTCTTTCTTTCCACACTTGTTGATTATGAAGTGTTTGGTCGTTCTTTTAATTACTTGATATGGTCCTTCATATGGTTGTTTCAATGGCTTTTTAACAGCATCAACTCGAACAAAGACAAATTTGCATGTTTCTAGATTTCTGTTGAGTTGTATTCGATTGTTATGTTCGCGAGGCGGTATGGCTTTGATTCGTTGCATGGTTTGCAGCAGTTGGCTAGCAAAACGACTTGGGTCCGTTGGTGTTAAAGTGTTTGGGTCCACTAGTTGACCTGGTAATGTAAGGGTTGTACCGTAAACTAGCTCAGCGGCTGTACAACCTATATCTTCCTTTATAGTTGAACGGATACCCAGGAGTACAAGTGGTAATGCGTCACTCCATTTTGTCGTATCATCTTGTGCCATCAGCGAGCTTTTCAATTGGCGGTGAAATCTTTCGACCAAGCCGTTAGCTGCTGGGTGGTAGGCTGTTGTTTTGATGTGGTTCACGCCCAGAAGTCTTGTGAATTCCTGAAATAAGATAGACTGAAACTGGGGACCACGGTCGGTAGTGACGATAGAAGGTACTCCGTAATTCGCTATCCAACGGTCAAGGAATACGCCGGCTACTGTTTCTGCAGAAGTATCAGCAATAGGGCATGCTATGGCCCATCTTGTGAACCTGTCCACCGCAGTGAGAATGTGCGTGAATGAATTAGATGGTGGCAATGGACCAACTATGTCTAAGTGGATATGCTGAAAACGTTTTTCCGGCAGGGGATACTTGCCAACTGGACTGATCGTGTGGTTCTGAATCTTGCTGCGTTGACATTGTAGGCAGCTTCGCGTCCATCGTTTTATATCTGAATTGATTTTTGGCCACACAAAACGCTCAGTAACCAATTTGATTGTGGCTCTGATTCCTGGGTGAGAAAGGTCATGCAGTTGACGAAATACCTGTCGACGACATGCTAGTGGTACGAAAGGGCGATTGTTACCCGTTGAAACATCGCAAATGATAGATGTATTTGAGAAAGGGATGGGTACTGGTTTAAGGTTCAAGTTAGACTTCTCCTGGCAGACCTTCAAATCTGCATCGTCTACTTGTAGTTTTGCGATGGTTTCTAGATCGATGTCTTGTTTACGTAACAAGGTATTTACGTCCTTACGTGACAATGCGTCAGCTACGACGTTGGTATTTCCTTTGACAAATTGGATATCTGTCGTAAACTGGGAGATGTAATCCAGTTGTCGTGCTTCCCGTGGAGAATGTTTGTCGTAGGTCGTATTGAAAGAATAGCAAAGTGGTTTATGATCAGTCATAATGGTGAAATCGCGTCCCTGAAGGAGGAAGTTGAAGTGTTTTACAGCTAAGTACATAGCTAGAAGTTCACGTCCGAAGGTGCTATAACGTTCTTGTGCTGGCGATAATCTCTTGGAGAAAAAGGCAATGGGGGTAATCTTGTTGTTTACCCGCTGTTGTAATACTGCCCCGACGGCTTTTTGTGAAGCATCCGTGCACAGGATCAACAGTGTTGTGGGGTCAGTATTTAGGTGTTGGAGCATGGTAGCATTAGCAATCATGGATTTAGCTTTTTCAAATGCTACTTTGGCATCGGAAGGTAACTTGAATATTTGGTTCTTTTCTTTCTTGGTACTTGATTTATCGTTTTTCAGTAAATCTGTCAATGGCTGTAGTACGTCGGCACAATTTGGTAGAAATCGTCGATAAAAATTACATGTTCCAAGAAAACGGCGTAGTGATTTTACTGAGGTTGGTTCTGGATAGCTGGAGATGGCTTTGACTTTCTCTTCAAGCGGTTTAATTCCTTGGGAATCAATGTGGTGTCCCAGGAATTCCAGAGATGAGGCGCCAAATATACACTTCGAAGGGTTGATTACAACACCATAACTTTTGAAACGTTCAAAAAGCGTGTGTAGGTGTTGAACATGTTCGTCAATGGAAGAACTAGCGATTAAAACATCGTCGATATAGACAAATACGAAATCCAGACCTCTAGTTACTTCGTCCATAAATCTCTGGAAGGTTTGAGCGGCGTTTTTTAGTCCGAAAGGCATCCTCAAGAATTCAAACAAGCCAAAAGGTGTGATTACAGCTGTTTTCTCGATATCCTCAGGTGCCATCGGTATTTGGTGGTATGCTCGGACTAGATCTAACTTTGAAAAAATCTGCTTTCCATGTAGATTTAAAGAAAAATCATGCAGGTGAGGGATCGGATACCGGTCTGGGATAGTCTGGTTATTCAATCGGCGATAATCTCCACATGGGCGCCAGTCTTGATCTTTCTTGGGAACCATATGCAGCGGCGAGGCCCAAGGACTGTTAGATTGTCTGATTATCCCAAGTTGCATCATATGTTCGAATTCTCTCTTAGCGAACTGCAACTTGTTTGGATGGAGTCTTCTCGCCCTGGCGCGAATAGGTGGTCCTGTAGTAGTAATACTGTGTTGGACATGATGTGTGGAGCATTCGTTTTGGTAATCAGCTCTGGTTATACTTTCATACTTCGACAGGATATCGGTGAAAATTTTGTTTTCAGGTCTTAACATTCGGACTCCATGAATTTCGTAACTGGAGATAGTTGTGCCACTGACCTGTAAGCTTGTGTTTTTGTCGATTAGTTTCTTTTTTGCCATATCTACAAGTAGGTTGTAAGCACCGAGAAAATCGGCCCCGATAATGGGTTGTTTGATTTCAGCTACGATGAAAACCCATGTGAAACGTCTCCGGAGACCGAGATCTAAAATAAGTGATTGTTCGCCATAAGTTTTAATGACTGTGTTATTGGCTGCGACTAGAGACAATTTAGTACTCTGAGGGTGCCGTCGTTGAGAGAGGTGTAATGGGATAATGCTGATTTCGGCTCCTGTATCGACCAAAAAATCTGAGCCCGAAATTCGATCCCTGACATGAAATAGACGGCTCGGGTAGTGGCCAGAAACAGGCGCCGCCATCACTGTCTGGCCGGGTCGTTTCCCTGATTTTCTGTGTCAGACGCAGAAAATGTGCACGGTCGTGTACAACGCCGTGCTTTGGTGCCGTATTTTTGGTGGTACCAACAAACATCAGATGTTCGCTTCGGTGACCGAGACCGTTGTCTAGAAAAAGATCTTCGTCTGGAGGGGGATCTCGATTGTCTAGCTTGAATGGTTGCTATGGTCGATTGCAGTGACGCCAGCTGGCTCGTTAATTGTGTTAACTGCTTTTGAAAGGAGGCTAAACAGCTAATATCTGTTGGTCCAGGTGGTTGCAATGAGTTCACACAGTGATTGTCGTGGTATACTTCCATCATTTTATCTGCCATGTCGGCTAAGTCATCAAGTGCGACGGATTTCCCTGAAACACTGAGAATTTGTCGAACGCTGTGTGGTAATCTTTGAAACCACATTTGCTTTAGGAGGGCTTCGTCTAGCTTGTATGGACCGGCGAGTTGTTTCATGTGGCGGAGAAGTTGCGAGGGTCTTTTATCACCCAAGTCACAAGATGTTAACAACTGTTGTAGCCTTTTCTCATCTGAGACCGTGGTGCGTTGAATAACTGCTGCTTTTATCTTATCATATGGTTCAGATTCTGGCACGTGATCGATTAAATCACCAACTTCAGCGGCAATCTCGATAGGAAGTGCGCCGACTACGTATGCATACTTTGATGCCTGGGATCTTATGCCTCTAGCCATGAATAAAGCTTCAATTTGAGCAAACCAGACTCTGGGATTATTAGCTCCATAAGTTGGGAGTCTGAATTCTGAGATAGAATTAACTGAACTAAAATTATTTTCGGGAGAGTTCGACAATGAGACAAAAGTTGTTACTGGAGGCGAATCCATATCAATGAGTTTAGTGGGAGAGGACATTACGAGAAAAAAATAAACCAGTAAATTGTATGAAATGAAAAACAAAATAACCGTTAGGATAAACACGAGGCTCACCAAATAATTGTGGTGGACCAGACAAATATGAACGCAAAAAGTATAAACAAAGTTACTAAAGATAAATAGTAATATTAATATATACACAGTTAACTGTTACAAATACAATAAAAATTAGGGACGTTACTTAAATTGCCCAAACGTTGCGTGTTCTGATTAGGTCCAGTAATGTAAATCCACAATTATAAATGCTTGATGACTCTGAGCAGGTTGGCGAACTCTCTAGCGATATAGTCCAACGTAGGATGTGATATATTCCGATTACAGTCTATAAATGTAGATAGTATTTGATTTAGACTTCCGTTAACTCAATTACAAATGGAAATAGAACGAGGAATGCGAGAGTAGTAATGTATTTGTTAGTCGGCAAGCATATACCACGCTATGTAGTAGCTCAACGGAAAGTGTGTTCAAGGTCAATGACTTAAACAACAGGTACAATCATTTAATGATAAATGTACATGCAGTGGGAAATTGACAAAATAAATACAAATAATATTAAAAACTATTTACAAAATAAGCTTGTCAGGTCTATCTCCACACTATTCTGAAACCTTCATTCACTGTCTATTACGACATGACGACATTCGATTCCACATCGATTTTCAAGAGTGTGGAGAGTAGGACCATGAATTTGAGCTAGTCAGTGTACAACAGGATGCTAGATACAGATTCTGACTCCTTCAGTCAGAACTACTGTCACCAGGCTCTAGAAAAGTAATATCCTGCTTTAGCATGCTCTAAAATACACTGAGTAGCCTATTCCCTCCTGACATAGTAATTCTTAAAACGGTTTCTAATGCAATCGTCAAGGTTATCCTCAAAGAATTTCCCCATCAAAGCCCAAACACTGGCAGGCGATCTAACCCCTTCTGCTCTTACAGCTTCTTAGTTGGAATTCTTCCTCCAAAAATGAAAGCGCAACTTCCTCAAGAGATAATATAAGGTTAGTGCTATGATTCGCTACGGATACTAATAAATCCTCATTTGTAGTCTGATACATCAGCAATCATTCACAGTAAGACGTTATTACACGTCATTCCATCATCGCTGTAACTATTAATTAACTTTTTTGTCCTGAATAATCCGAGAGACTAAAACAAACGGAATATATCTCCATGATCAAAAGCCTTATCGTTTATTTAAAAGACATATTACTTACTTACTTACGCCTGTTACTCCTCGTGAAGGAGCATAGGCCACTCACCAGCATTCTCCATCCAACCCTGTCCTGGGCAATCCTTTCTAGCTCCGTCCAGTTGTAATTCATCCTTTTCATATCTGCTTCTATAATCCGACGCAATGTGTTCTTTGGCCTTCCTCTTTTTCGCCTCCCTTCAGGGTTCCAAGTTAGGGCTTGCCTCGTGATGCAGTTTGACGGTTTGCGTAATGTATGTCCTATCCATTTCCATCGTCTTTTCCTAATTTCTTCTTCAGCTGGAAGTTGCTTTGTTCTCTCCCACAGAAGGCTATTGCTGATGGTATCCGGCCAGTGGATGTTGAGTATCTTGCGTAGGCAGCTATTTATAAATACTTGTACCTTCTTGGTTGTGGTTGTTGTAGTTCTCCAAGTTTCAGCTCCATACAGTAGAACTGCCTTGACGTTCGTATTGAAGATTCTCACTTTGATATTGGTTGAAAGTTGTTTAGAGTTCCATATGTTCTTCAATTGTAGGAATGCGACCCTTGCTTTGCCGATCCTCGCCTTTACGTCTGCATCTGAACCTCCTTGTTCATCGATGATGCTTCTTAGGTATGTGAAGGACTCTACATCTTCCAGAGTTTCGCCATCAAGAGTGATTTGATTGCTGGTCTGCGTGTTGAATTTGAGGATCTTGGTTTTCCCTTTGTGTATGCTGAGGCCTACTGATGCAGAGACTGCTGCTACACTGGCTGTCTTCATCTGCATCTGTTCGTGTGTACGTGATAGGAGGGCTAGGTCGTCTGCGAAGTCCAAATCGTCTAAGTGATTCTGAGTTGTCCATTGTATGCCGTGTTTTCCTTCAGATATTGAGGTCTTCATAATCCAGTCGACCACCAGAAGAAAGAGGAAGGGAGAGAGTAAACAGCCTTGTCTGACCCCAGTCCTTACTTGGAATGCATCTGTCAGCTGTCCTCCATGCACTACTTTGCACTGTAGTCCGTCGTATGAGTTCCGGATAATGTTGACAATCTTCTCAGGAACTCCGTAGTGTCGAAGAAGTTTCCATAATGTCCTCCTATCTACACTGTCGAATGCCTTTTCATAATCAATGAAGTTGATGTATAGTGATGAGTTCCACTCCACTGATTGTTCGACGATGGTCCGTAGTGTTGCAATTTGGTCTGTGCACGACCGATTCTTACGGAATCCAGCTTGTTGATCTCGAAGTTGGGCGTCTACTGCATCCTTCATACGGTTCAGCAACACTCTGTTGAAGACTTTCCCTGGTATTGACAGTAGTGTAATGCCTCTGTAGTTTTCACATTTGCTCAGATCTCCTTTCTTTGGAATCTTGACGAGGTGTCCTTCTTTCCAGTCCATTGGCACTTGTTCCTCCTCCCAAATCTTTTTGAATAGAAGGTACAGCATGCTTGTGGTTGCTTCGATGTCTGATTTCAGTGCTTCAGCTGGTATGTTGTCGGGTCCTGCTGCTTTCCCGTTCTTGATTTGTCTGACGGTCATTCTAATTTCTTCCGTCGTTGGTGGGTTGACATCTATAGGAAGATCTATGTGTGCTGCTTCGATGTCCGGTGGATTCATTGGAGCCGGCCTATTCAGGAGTTCCTCGAAGTATTCCATCCATCTGTTACGCTGATGTTGAATTTCGGTGATTGGTACGTTTGACATACTACCAGAACGTCATCACCACACCCCTCAAGACAACTCTCGAACGACTGTAAATCAAAGAGCGAACACCCAAATATGCGCTCAAGTGAAAACTTGACAAACCCTATGGACTATCATCTCCATCTTAGACTGTCTATGCCTGATGCATGTTTTACAATTGACTACTATTTGCATAACAAAATATCAGTAACTACTTCGCAGATCACACCGTTTTCACTCCTATCTATACAGTTCGGTTATCTCACATTGAATACATTAATAATTGGATATTGAACTGGCCCTCACAATTCTAAACTCCTGTTCTGGGCGCGTTCAAGAGCTTTCTAATGTTAGTAGTTGGAAAGTGTTATTGTATAGTTGCACAGTATTATTTTCGCACTTCAACTTATGGATTGCATGTAGGAAGATTGTTTCGCCTTAGTTCTTTTCTAAGTAGCTAACGAACACGGCTAGTTGCCTGTAAGATTATCTCCATATATATATTAGAATGTCTGTATACACATTGATTATGTTCTTAGTTTTCACTCGTGAAACCCGAATGTAAGTAAAGATGATTGTGATTGGTCAAAAAATTTGGGTTTGATTCACTTGAAGGTATTTTCGTCGTTACTGTATCTGAGTTTTCATAAAGGCAAGGAAATCGGACACAATAAGAGCAAATAATTAGTAAACAGTGAAAAAAGAATAAGTGTCTCCAACTAGTCAACCTCTGGCGTCTTTTCTCGCGTCCAGCTCCTGGCTCATTCGATTTACCCTCTATTATGGTTTTATTTCTTTCATTCCAGACGTTCTCACTAGATTCTCTTGATGAGTATTTATTACTCTTTGTTCTGCTAACTTCATGTTACCGAGTAGGTCCTTTCCTACAGAGGCAAATCATATTGACAAACGGTAGTCCCCAATGGAATTTTTAAGGAACAATAGGTGACATAATTCTGTATTTGTAAAATTCATCAAGGAGGAATAGAAAGTAATAAGTTAGTTATGTATAAACTTGTTTGGTCTGTATCATTATCTCTAAAATAAACTTTTATGAGCACCCAATCAAAAGTGTTCAAGTTATCAGACTGGTAGATTTGTTTAGGAAAATATTCCTTTAAATTTCATTTTGAATCTCTCAAATAACTAAGTATATATGAAGACGTAGCATAATCTTCATTGAATCAAAAAGGGAATTGAAAATCAGGTGAATAAAATCAGGGTTTGGTTGATATTTAACCAAATCAGTGCACATAAGTGGATGTTGTTATTGATGACAGGTTTCGTACTTGTGTCGATTCTTTCTGTTTTATCATTCCCGTTGTGGAAGTAAGACATAACTGATCTCATTGCATATTCTAATCTGCTTCTTTAATAGTCGACTCGATAATATGAAGTAAAAATGAATAATAGAGTTGTCACCAGTGAAAGCATATACTGAGAACGATTTGAAAAATAAACTTCGATATATCTAGGTCAATGTTAATTCAAAGTCTAGTGTAGCACTCTGAAGTATATAAATAGCGTGAACAAAAAATATAACTTATAAAAACGTCCTTACCATATGTCCTGATGCTGGCGAGGGTGGGAAGAGTTGGCTCTCCCTTCAAATGCTCTCACATAGCCACGTGTATACGGCCACTGTCAGGTAAGTCCTACTCACCACCTCGCACCACTGGTGTTGTTTACTAAATTGAGAGGAAGAAAAGAGAATATCTAACCGGGTCGGTGGATACGGAGGACTCACCTAAGGCAGTTGGAAAACCCTGATTCCAAATCAACGGTGCACATGGGCTTCAGAGTCCTAAGGAAACAAATGGCGTATGAACCAACTATTGGTCACCGGTTACCGTGGGACTGCATCTTATAACGCTGCCCCAATGCCTAGTGGATTAGACCTTTAGGTCAAAGGCTTGGGGTGTAGCCCCCTAAGAAAACCACCTGCTTTGGTCTGCGCACCCCGGTAGTATCACAGTTCACACACAAATCAAGTGACTTGTGTGGCGCATATGTATTCGGTGCTCCTTCGTACCAATGTGTTCAAATAAATAATATTCATTGTTTTGGTTATAAACGTGCAGCTGGACGAAAGGAAAGGGGGGTCGCCCATTGCTCTTGGTTCTATCAGTCATATGTAAAAAGTATACGTTTTAGTGCGTTTATCAGAAGACGGCTAGTCGTGGCCGGGAAGAACCGTCCTGTTTACTAACTACTGCTAGTGTATTGCTCTTCTAACCCAACTTTCTATCTGTCCTACGTTTTAGCTGACTGACTTCTATCTGTCCACAGATGAAGCTACGTTTGGACTAGTTCTTTCTACAAACTGGTGAACAATTTTGATGAACAGGGTATCACTAGATTATTAGTATTCGATGGTGCGTCTTCAAAGTATCGCTCATGTATTTTTGGACCACCAAGTTAGCGATCCCGAGATTAGACATGTCGTGATAGGTAAATATTACAATGAGGTTGAAGTAGTTGAGATATGCGTTACTTATGTCTAACCACCGTCTACATAAAGTGGCGATGTTGTGTGATGTATTGGTTCTGAAGAGAGTTAGAGGCATTCAAATCGATATAGTACAGTTCGTAGGGTCACTGACAGTTGCGCCGAGCCGTGTTAATAACCGTAAACTACTTACCTAGTTGGAGTCCGCGTGATTATTCTAACCAATGGTTAGAGACTTGGTGATACGGCTTAGAATGGTTCACAGTAATGTTTTGCTTTAGAGTCTGAGTTATGGATCTGCCTTATATCATTTTTCCTATTCATAATCTTTTCTACTTTACTACTGATATTGTTAGCAATTCTATTACTCAGAGATTTATTTTGAAATAATTTTATCTTTTAAAGATCCTCGTCATTATACTTATTTGATCGAATTGTAATTGCACTATTATTTCTCTCTCACCATATTTGACCCATATTTATTCTGATCATGGATCTTAACATGTACACTTAACATATACGCAGATTCAAGTTAACATTCTATATGAGTCATATTAACATTAACAATTTTATTGTATTTTGTATATCACAATCCTAAATTCACATGCTTTAAACGATATACTTTGCCCTTAACCTGGCCATTTTTCGGATTATTAATTTGGATATATGACTTGTAGAACCTGAAGAGAATGTATCGAAAAGGATATTCTTCGTTCAAATACTAGTCTTTTAATTTTATCTTTGTTCTAATATGGCATGGCTATTCGAACTGATGGGCGTATGTGTCAGGTTCTTTGTTGCGTATGGCTGACTGACTTATCCTTCAAATAATTAAAGAATGTTTGTTCTCTAACCATTCATTACCCTTATTATTTGAAGAAATCTTCAATCGGGAATTGATGTTATCCGGAGAAACGCTGACAAAAAATAAGGGACCACTAAACTGTTCATTCCTCCTCGTCCCGAACTTGTTGACATTGACTAGTTATTGTGAATTAGTGCATATTTATACATTCTTAACCAGTAGATATGAATATAAATTAAGCTAATGATAAGTTGATAGTAATTGTACATTTCAATGGTTTTCTGTTACTTTCTTTGCTTTAGTAATCTTCACCGTTATGTGGTATGAAATTCTTCCAGCGCTTTCAATAGTAACCGGAATAACATTTGCTATCCCACCTTTATTAAGTGTAACCAATTATGCGTTTTTTGGTAGAGTAAGTTTATACTATATCCAATGATTGTTTTCTTTTTTCCTTGGAATTTCTATTTATCCCATTTTATTTTAGTGGTCTCCACCTAATTTATTTCAATTTAAACAAGACTTCTTTCTACATTTACGTGATAAAGATCTTGAAGGACCACTTTTATTTCAAGTAGGTCAAATAAAATTAATTGAATGTATTCTTTATAATTATTTTTAAGGATTCAGAGTTTATCTTCAAGGATTAATGAAATGTTTATTAACTGATAATGTGCATCTCTATGTAGATTTTAGCAAAAAAAAATAAAATGTTGATTTACAATGTTTATTTTGAATTAGTTTAGATTGTCCCATTGTTGGTATTTTGACTGAAGCTTGTGTGCCTCAATCGACAAATCTTAAATAGGAGAAATGTACATCTTGGACTCTCTGCCACTGACCACATTTTATCCGTTGTTTATCGTTTATCTTTGTGCAATGTTTTTTTTTTAGTTTCGCGGATATTTATTCAAGGTCATTACAATACCGGAAAACGAGAATAATACTACAAAGTTCCAATGTTGTAGCTTGAATCTCTTGGATATTAAAGTATTGATGAAGACAGCTGTAAATTATTGTGGATAATATTCAATAGGATTCTTGTTAGGTTTAGACATAAGTCATGTACTTAATATGAACCACTATTTATTTCTTATGGTTTATATAATCTACAGTGATTATCTCTTGATTAAGAGTTGTAGGGTAAAACGCACGTCCTAGATTCCGCTACTAGCAACAATCCATCGTCTAGAAAAGTTGTGACAAACTGGCTATATCGAAGTAATCCGCACATATACCAACAAAATCTGATCAAAATCCAATCCTGCATATCAAAAACAAAATAATTCGAACCTTTACTAATAAAAAAACATAAGCATCATACCCACTGAACAAGTTAGCAGCTATCTCAGTAGATAAAACATTAGTCTGAATGCATCTACCCTATGATGACTAATTCTGAGCCATATCACGTCAATATGTGACCAGTATTAAATATATTTTAAAAAACAAAAGATTTTGATAGTTTGCATTCCTGACTGATGGTGATTCGTTTGTTTATTGTATCAAGCGTCGTACAACTACCATAATCTTATTCAATTCAATGAACTGCCATCGAATTTCATCACGGATGCAACTGCACTACTGTAAACAAATCTAAGTCATACCTTTCAAGATTTCGAACCACAGATCATGCATTATCGTTCGGCAGATTATAATTAAAAAGTCTATACTTTTTAGACACGCATTAGTCAGCTAGTCATCAGGTAATGTTATTTGTAAGGTGTATAATTAACAGAGATATGGTTATGTAATCGCCCATTTTAAAGCAGTATTAGATATGATTGTCAGATGGATGACTATAGTCCGTTTATCAGAAGTAATAGTGTATTTTGGTTTAAAAAAAAATCACAAAGGTGATCGGTTTTCCACAACCTAATACTAAAACCCTGTTCCTAGTGAAACCAATTGTACTACACCATAACAGAAGCACAAATTCACAATTGATCGATTTATATTTATTGTAGACAAAAAAAATACAGGATTACAAAATACTTTCACAAAGTTATTCGCGGTTTCTTCGTTTTCTTGTGCTGTGTGGCTTCTTGATTATGTTCTACAGAGATGAAAAAGAAAACAAAAAAGGGAATTGCTCCATGAATAGGGTGGTTAAGTAGTGACCGAATGATAGTGATAATATGGCTGTACTTCTCTCCGCCTAGTTATAACTAATACTGACCAAGCAGTTTAACGATTAAACACTCTATGGATCACAACTTAAGTATATTTAGCAGTTTGTACATTGCTGCTAAATAGTTCTGCAATAAAATGTGGTAGATATTCATCCCATGAACATCAAACTGATGAAATGTGAACCTCATCTTCTAAAACAAACAGAGAGTGAATCAAACGCAAATTTACTCATGTAACTTGAATCTACCTAAGTACAAGCTTTTTGGCAATCGGCTTTGAGTTGCGCTTTAAGTGCAGTGACTAGTTATGATGTCTGATGAAATTGCGATAGGAATTCAGAAATCTCGGCAGGTTTTTACCAACTTGGGTCACTTATGGCGTAGGTGAGATAACTGTTAACCGACCAATGGACGAGTTTACTGTACAGTAGTTTGTTTCATTCTACTTTATGGTTGTGAAACATGGCCCTTGGAAGTAGATGATATTCGTAGGTCACTATTGTTCGATCATAGGTGTCTTACACATTGGAACTACCGAGTTGGGAATACTGAAGTTAAACGCAGAGTACTAGTTAAGGTCGTGTAAGTGGTGTTCTAATTGGTGATTTAGTCAAGTAATAGTTAACGAAGCAAAAGTCGTAACAGGTAGCGAATTTTTATCGATTAATATGGCCAGGGCATGTGATACTCATGTCCATCCACTAATTGGTGTAAGAGTAGAATGTAAGAAAACTATGACGGCACACCAGTTAGACTAACTCATTTAGGTAGGTGAAGATTATTTGGTTCGAGTCCGTACCATTGTCGTGACCAATGGCTGGAGCTTCTAGGTAACGCACCTCAGAATTGTCTGAAATGGTGTGAGTCCATTCGCATTTTGCCTTCCTGTAGATCGTAAGTCTTTAAAATTTGCATACATTTGTTTATTTTGATAATTTGTACTTCCTCGCATCGCACCTTCGATGCATAATCTTTTCTATTACAACTACATCTACTACTGTGGAATTCGCTCTGACTATATCATCTCGATGTGCCAGTAGCGTGTGGCAACTTAAAACGATTTACACATGTGGGTGTTCTATGTTGCGTATGACTGACTGAGTCATGATTTACGGTTGCCTAAACTTAAGCAGAGGAATAGGCATTTGAATTAACTATACATATACTAATCAGTCTGATTACATTCGACTGAACCATTCAGAACATACAAAATAGATTACCTTTATTCGGAGATAATTTTCTTTTTTGCAACCGATTAGATGTGTGAATTTCGTTCTCACTGGAATTATTCATTTCCAAAGGTTGAGATGTTACATCTGGTAGCTTGGATTTCTTTTTTACTGGACCATTCCATGCCATGCCAAGAGCATTACGAGTGGCTTTATGCAAATTACGTCGTTCTCGAATAGCACGAGCGCCTAACGATGCACGACTGCATATAATTTGAATGAGTTGGTGATTTCCACCACCAAGTTCTTGGGTAAGAGCAGATTCAGTTGACTCAATTAATTCAACTAATTGATCAGGTCCTGCCTTTGCCATTCCAGCTGATACAGAGGCAACAAGACTGTTCGCACTCTCTGGTCTAATTGTACCTGACATGAGTGCACGACGGAGGCGAGCCTTTAAAACAAACGAAAGGAAACAATATATCAACTCACAAATTTATAAGATGGTTAGAAAATAGTCTACATCTGAGAATGACATCGGAAAACATGAAGCACTAGACAGTCTTTTTGCCCTGGTATGGGGATTCAGTGGTGTGCATCCACGATTTCCTGTAAGGGTTGAACCTACAATCTTCAGACATCGAGTCAAGTGTGTAACTTTTATACCATTGAGTCCCTGTGATCCGGAATTTGCGATGTCGTGTGGCAACCATCACTTGTTATCAGTGATGCTTATCTCATTCTCAACATGGTTGAACTAGGATTCTGAGAATTCCCCTATAAGTTGTTCACTTATGTATACTCGAATGCACATCACACAGTAAACGATACAGAAATTAAAAACCGACCATCCAACCCACCTGTGCTCTTCTTTGTCTTGATTTCGCTCTGACAGTAAGTTCTCGAGAAAGATGCATACCGCGTAGTCGTATTCTAGCGCCAATATCTGTTGTATCATCGTTGACAGCTGAAGCTAACGATGAAGCTGCTGTAAAAGCTAGTCGTTCGCGCTGACGGAATTCTCGACTTATTAATTTCGAAGCAGATCTTAAGTAGGCGAAATAAGCTGGAACTTGTTTTTCAACGGATGGATTTTCATCTGATTGATTGTCAGAACCACTTGAATGTTGAGTATTTAGTGAGAACATATCAAATAATTGCGTTGTATTCGGATGAGGTAGACGTAATAAAAGGCCGGTAGTCAATTTCAACGCCAGTAGCCTCTGTAAAAAAGAAACAGGAAGGTGTACATGAGATCCGAAAGTTTCAAATTAAGTTAGGTGATAAAACAGAGGTCCTAATGCCATTTCGACTGTTAAGTATTATTACATTCACTGGCTTCTATATGACGGATGAAAATGTGTAGTGAAAACTCCATATCTCGATAGTTGTATGAGTATTGATGGTGGGTTGGGTGTAAGTGATGGAATCAATCTACATATAGTATAAGTCAGGTCAGCTTATATTGATCTAGGTCGTTTTGGTGCTATTGTGGTGTTAGTCTAGCTGTGAAGGGTTCGGTTTACAACAGTTCCATGAGAACAATTCGACTCCTCTGAAGTGATGATATTTGATGGCAACACCATGTTGGTAATAATGAGGTTCAACAATGCGAGTTGGGGCGCAATGACGAGAATTCAGTGATTGTCGTCATCTTGAAACACTAGGTTCAGTAACCTGGACATATGTTATGAATCTAACCCAGCATCTCTCACGCAATGTAGTGAACAGGGACACAAGTGGGGACAATCGAATGTATTTGACACGAAATTACAGAATATCTCACTAAAATCTGAGAACTATACAGTAAGTAGTTAATTTACAAAGTATCAATCTATCGTCTCGAATTTGATCGTTCTTTTTGCGAATATCAGTCTCAGATTCTATTGTTCATACCAATCGCGTTCTATTCCCATTCTTTCTTTATCGATCCTCTACTGAAATACACTCTATGTCTGACCACCAATATACGCTACTTATGTGGATATAAGTAGCCCACATCACAGTAGTGCATAACTTTTCGAAGTTGGTACAGAGCGAAATAGGCGGGGTCAATTTATGACATTCTGCAGCGGTATGAAAGAACGCTGACGACCATCAATTTTTACTTAAGGTTCTAAAGATTATGTATATCGCTCATAACTAATACATGATTGATAATAAGAGTAGTAATAATTTCTCCATTCAAAACACTATAACAGTCAATTAGAAACATTTAAAATAGAGGATTTGAAAAGAAAAGAAAAAAATAAACCAAACACAGTCATCATTATAACATACTTGACAATAATATTGTGGTCTATTGTTTAATTCATCCAATGCAATTTTATTAGCAATACGAAATATTCTCAATACTGGTTTACGTCCAACACTTAAATGTAATAATTGTCCAAGATAAATTAAATTAGATAATAACTGAATAAAAAAAGGAGAAATGGAAAAAAAGAGGGGATGAATTAAAGATAAAAGAGAAAGATGGTAATTATGAACAAGTCAGTCAGTCAGCAACATTGTGGAATTTCGTACGTACGTATATCAATTGGGGTTGCTATACCACATTAGCACAAATATACATTTGTCGAATCAAATCCCATAGTGGTAGAGATAATGTACTGGGAATATGCGACATATATATCAGTGTAATAGGAATTAGTCCAATGTCAATGGAAACAACGATGAACACCCAATAATATTAGAACTTGTGGTGTGGAAATAAGCAATGTTAAAACACGAGTTTATTTACTTATTTGAACATATAAATATTGGTAAAAACAGGCACCAAATACATTTGCACCACATAAATCATTCTATTTATGTGAGGGCTGCTATACTGCCTGAGATCAGACCACGTGGCTTTCTTAGAGGGCCACACCCCGAGCCTTTGACCTAAAAGTCTAGTTCACAAGGCAGTAGAGCAACGTCAGGAGATGCAGTTCCATGGTAACCAGTGGGTAATAATTGGTTCATACGCCATTTGTTACCTTAGGACCTTAGAGCCCATGTGCACCATTGGTTTGGAATGAGTATTTGCCAAGTGTCTTAGGTGAATCCTCCATATCCACCAACCCGGTTAAAGTGTCGTGCATTCACTTTTGATGCTCTCAATTTCGTAAACAGTAATGCCGCGAGAAGGTATTGAGTAGGACTTTCCTCGCAGTGATTGTATCCACGTAGCCGTGAGAGAGCATTTGGGGGTTTGTCAGAATAACACAGTAAAATTGATTGATTCAACAGAGTTGGAAGCAGTTTCTAACTAAGCAAAATCAATATTTATAATTGATGTCAAGATATTTGAAAAAGGGCCCTATTAATTCATTATTATGAACTGATGACAACAGCTTTTAATTATGTCATTATTATTCTATATATTTGAGAAGGTTCAGTTACATGAAGAAATTATGATGAGCTGGATGGTTCAATTATGGAAATTTTATTATTCGTTGAACAATATCATCAGGTTTCAACTTGTCATGGTAAAATAATGAAAAAACACGACTTAATGACGCTTAACTTTTTAGAATGTAAAGAGGCCATTTTTAAGAGAATATTCGAATTGGAACTTTACAGTCCATGTTTAATTTGACTAACTATCTATCAAGACAGTTCTGTCGTATGGGGTGGAAACTTGGAGAACTACGAAAACCATCATCCAGAAGATATAAGTGTTTATTAACAGTTGTCTACGCAAAATACTTCGGATCCGTTGGCCGGGCACTATCAGCAACAACCTACTGTGGGAGAGAACAAACGAGATCCCAGTCGAGGAAGAAATCAGGAAGGAGCGCTGGAAGTGGATGTGACACACATTGAGGAAAGCACCCAACTGCGTCATCAACGCAAACCTTCACATGGAATCCTCAACGTCAAAGGAGAAGAGGAAGACCAAAGAACACATTACGCTGAGAAATGTAGACAAACATGAGAATAAATAACAATTGGATAGAACTAAAAAGGAAGGCCCGGGACAGAGTGGGTTGAAGAATGCTGGTCAACGGCCTATGCTCCTCCATTGGGACTAACAGGCATAAGTAAGTATCCGTTAAATGTAATGGGGGTAATATCTCCCACTTTAAAATGAATCCATTTAAAGTAAACAAACAAGCATAAATGATGAAAAAATCTTACCGTATTTGACCATTCTTCTGAAATAGGTACACGTGCATCAACTTCCAATTGAAATAATGAATCGTTTAGTATTCTTTGTAACTAAATTTTTTTTAAAAGAGAAAAATTGGCAAAATGAAAACAACACAAGAAATGAAGGAAAAACAAATCTTGATGTGTATATGATGATGATGATGATGCTCGGTTGTATGTTGAGATCCATTTGAATGAAGAGTATGATGAGATTAGATGTATGTCACTAGGCAAAGATGACGAATCACTTGATGAGAGTGTAATAGTTGAGATATGTATTGCTCATACCTTGAACACATAATACCGGCCGGTGTAGGTGTATGTATGAAGAAAGTTGATGGGAAATGTTAAATTGTTCCATTGTACTATTTAAACTTGGATTAATTTTAATTTGGTTATTTATTCTCTGAAGAAGTGACTTACACTAAGTGACGAAACGTCAGAAAATCTAATTTTCTACTCATTGGGATATTACAAATATATTTATTTATTTATAATATTGAATTAAGATGTAATATTAATACATGAAGTTATTAACCTAGAATTGTTCACAGTTAAGCAGATATACTCACTCTTTATTCCTTAGTATATAATTCGAAAGTGGTTACTATGAAGCGACCGAACCTGCTACCTTAACATGATTAGGGTTATCTGTTATGATGACCCGATTTTTCACCACTTATAGCAAGCCAGTATTTTCATAGGCTTTTTAGCAATACACGCAGATGAGCTGTTATAACTTATGGCCTGTGTGCCTTGATATTGTACAACGTAACGATACCGCCAATTAGAGAGCAGTGACTTATCGATCGGACCAATGACGCGTAAAACCCGTACGAACAGTCTAGAGTCCTGATTGGTCCGGCTTCCCGCCTAGCCCAACCAGTTAAATCCAGAACACCAATTTCAGCCTCTGCAATATCAAAATCATTTATTTCAAGCATACTGGGTTTATATACCGACCAGACAGACCATACCGTACCATAAATATGAAACAACATTTGTACAAGAATTAGTCAATGTGGCTGTGAATGAGGGAGGTAGTAATTAATAGACAAGGTATAATTCAAGAATGTAAAATCGTATAGTAACAATTCATAGATCAAAATAAGGCTTATAATAAGAGGGACACGAATATGTATAGTTTAGTTATATAACAAATATACGATAAAAATATACACACAGTATTGGCCCATAAATGGATCCCAAAAGTTACCATTTATTATACTTATCGGGGCATAAGATAAGCGAAACTACCATCAATCTAGTTTTCATTTCTAATACTTCAAGTATCTTTTCATGTGATATGGACAACAGGAAAGTGAAAATCTTCTATACACCTTTAACAGCATTTACGTATAACATATCACTGCTTTTTTCATTTCAAAATGAATCCGTTTAAAGAAAACAAACAAACAATATGGTGGAGAAATCTTACCACATTTGACCATTCTTCTGAAATAGGTACACATGCATCAGCGCATTGCTCTCAAATGCCCTGGTACGGCCAAGAGTGGGGAGAGTCCACTCTTCCTCTCCAAATACTCTCTCACATGGTCATGTGCATACAACCACTGACAAGGAACCCCTACCCATTGCCTTGTTGTAGCGGGGATGCTGTTTATGAAATTGAGAGAACGAAAAGTGAATGTCCGACACTGTAACCGGGTTCATAGATATAGAGAATCCATCTAGGAGAGTTGGAAAACCATGGTTCCAAATCAATGGTGCACATTGACTGGCTCCAGTATCCTGAAGGAACAAATGGAATATGAACCAATTGTTTGTTACCGCCTACCATATGATTGCATCTCCTTGAGTTACTACTCTACTACCTTGTGAATAAGACTTTTGTTTGTTTGTTTGAACAAATAAATATTGCTACAAAAGGGCACCAAATATATATGCACCACACTTTTGTGTGAGGGCTGTGATACTGCTCGGGTGCCCAGACCGAAGCAGGTGGTTTTCTTAGAGGACCACACCCCGAGCCTTTGCCCTAAAGGTCTAGCCCACAAGGCAGTGGAGCATCGTGAGGAGATGCAGTCCCATGGTAGCGGGTGACCAAGGAATTGGTTCATACACCATTTGTTCCCGCAGGATACTGGAGCCCATGTGCACCATTGGTTTGGGATCTGGTTAAAGCGCCGGACATTTGCTTTTTGTCCTCCCATTTTCATAAACAACACCCGTGGTACGAGAAGGCAGTGAGTAGGACTTCACTGGCAGAGAATGTATACAGGTAGCCATGTGAGAGCATTTCGAGAGGGAAGGCTGGCCCACGCCACTCTCGGCCATACCAGGGCATTTGGGGGCAAATTAGACCTTTATATCAAAGGTTCCGGGTGTAGCCCCTTCCCCCTAAGAAAACGTACCTGGCCCCACCTTTCTAGTATCTATGTTTAAATAAAATAAAATAAATATATCACTCATAATGAACTTACTACTTTATTGAAATTTGTTTTATTTTTTGTAATTTTTTAAATATAGCTGATCGAACATTTAAACCAGATAATTCAGTATCTATACTATTCTCATTGATTTGTTTTATAAAACGATCTTGATTTGTAATGATTTCTAATTTTAATAATAAATTTAAACAACGTGTTGCCCATTCACGTGTTTCACGATGACCTACAATTAATAAACTCATTTTTTTAGTTTTATTTTCTAGATTCTTTGTTGTTGTGGTGGTGGGGGTGGTGTTGGCGGCTGTAGTGGTTGTTGTTGTTGTTTCCATAGAGAATAATGTACTATATTGTTCACGACGTTTATTCAATTCCTTACGATGTTTCTTTGATTGAAATTCAGTGATTGGACATAATTGATTATTATTATATTTAGGTCCATTTAATAGAATACGCCAAAATGAGGATAATTTAATTGATGATATATATGCATTGATATTGTTATCTGATGTATTCGGTGAATCTACTGTTGTTGATTCAGTGATTAACTGATAAACCAATTTTAAAGCATGCTCTAACGTATGAGCAACTAAGAAGTATTGATTATCAATAGCCTTTGTATAAAAAAAAAGAGAAATAAGGTAAGATAGAAGAGATAAGCATTAATAAAGAATATAATAAAGAATACTATTTTTTTTTAGTATAATTGGGCTATTCCACGAGACGATAGCAACCGATGATTAGAGACTTTGAATGACATGACTCAAAATCGTTTGCAATGGTTTAGGTGCATTTACACTTTTTTTGTTCTACTAAATTCTAATCTTCTGAATTCTTCATGTCCCTTTTTATTCTTTCTGAAATTATTTCACTCGATTATAATCAAGCTTATAAGTTTACTACCTCTATCACTATGGGATTTGAATCGACAACTGAATCTCTGTGCTAATGTGGTATACCAACTCGCACTGATGTACGTACGTACGAAGTTCTTTGTCGTTAATTGACTGACTGATAATTAAACTTTGGTCAGTACTGAAAGTCAAGAAGTAAATTTCATCCTATTCGAGATGTATTTCATTATTTAATAAATCGTAACATACAACTATTTAGGATGTATAGATAATTCAATCTTGAATATTAACAATTTGATCATACAAATCGTCATTTTTGATTAGACTGAAGTATTTCTATCATTAGTTCTTTTGTTTGAGTAGTATGGTTTTTAAAAAATAAATTAGATGTAGTCTCTCAATAGTAAAAATGTTCAGTTCATTGTTTTAACCATAAGCCCCCAAATGGTGCGGCTGAGAGTGGGGAGAGTCCGCTCTCCCTCTCCAAATGCTCTCACATGGCCATACGTATACACCTACTGACAGGGAAGTCCTATTCACTGTCTTCTCGCCTTTGCGGTGTTGTTTACGAAACTGAGAGGACCGAAAAGCTAATGTTCGGTGTTTCAACGGTGTTGGTGGATATAAAAGATCAACCTAGTGAAGTTGGGAAACCCTCATTCCAAACCAATCGTGTGTATGGGCTCCTGTATCCTAAAGGAACAAATGGTGTATAAACCAATCGTTGGTTGCCGGTTACCATGGAACTGCATCTCCTAACGTTGCTCCACTGCCTTGTGGATCAGATCTTTAGGTCGAACGCTCCAGATGTGGCTTCTTAAGGAAATCACGTGGTTTGGTTTGGGCACCTGGACGGTATCAGAGCTGACACACAAATCAAGTGACTTGTGTAGCGCATATATATTCCGTGCCCCTTTGTACAAATGCTTGTATTTAAATAAATGAATTTAACCATAAAATCACTGTGATACAATTAGTTAGTGACACACACTCATATAGATCTCTATTTCGCTTGAATATATTTGCAAACAGTATCCTCTAAAACAAAAATGTAGTTTTGGAGATAATAAATTCACTACATCATCATCAGATTGATTTAGTTTTCGTTTGATTCAAAATTAACAATGTTGTTCAATACTGATATATTAAATCCAAACATTTGGATACTCGTTTTCGGAATGTAAGATCTAACATAGTATATGATTATGTCAAATACATTACTTTAATTCTTATGGTTGTACTCAGCAGTTATGTGATCATTTCGAACGCCTTGTATATTATATCACAATAATTTGCCTATCTACTCAGTCTTATTTCATTATTCTATTGATCTATAAATATTTGAGACGTGATGATTAAACGACATGTTAGACGAATCAATCAGATTCAGGATGACCGGTCTCAGATTTTGGCGCGGAATTCATTCAATCAATTGTCTAACTAGCGTCCTGGCATTTTATCTGATGTCAGTTCGTAATGGAAATCATAAATATGATTCCTAACCCTAACCATTAATTGTAAATCATAATCCTTACTGCTTTACAACCATTATTTAGCCCTAGTAAGTAGGTGGACATCCCCAAGGTCACTTTAGTGTCCCTCAAAGGTCGTTCACCCACAATAACAACAACAACCAAATGGTCTTCTTCTGGTGATAATAACATGATATGGATTGTTCCGCACAAACGGTCGTTGTAACACGCTGATTGGAGCATTCTTAGCCAATCAGAAAAACCGATAAATGGAGGAGAATCTTGTAGCTTTCTATGAAATAACTTCCCCATCATAAGTTATGTACTAATTTGAGAATCATTTGTATGACGTATAATGTCTGAAGAATATTAAACAAAAGAATGAACCAAGTCAAATAAATAAGATTTAACAGATGACAATCTAATACTGATATTGTATCAATTGAATTATGTTCATTTAATCCTATTGTATTTGGATTCTGTTTAACACTGTTGTGAATTTCACTTGGTTTAATTGTTTAAATATACATTCAAGAACATTTGCATTCGTGTTCTGAATTAATCTAGTTGTCTTTGATTATGGAGTGAAATAGTACGACAAATAAAGATAGTTTAAGTATTTTCTAGGTATAACTGGATTGAAATTTCATTCCAGTCTCGAATAGTTTAACCATGAGCAATCACAATCATACATGATATCGAATCTATGCAGTTTGTAGATCTCGTTGCAAGCATGATACCTGTAGCCCTCAAATGATGAATTAAGATCTAATAGTCGAGATTTCCAATTTCAGTTGAATTAGAATGGATAGTGAACCTAGTGGTTAATAGCACCAAGCTCTTGTAACTTAACCTGTATACTCACTTTAATATTGAATTCCTTACTAAGTGATAAACTGGATGATTTTTCAATGTACATGTCTATTACTCGCACGTTTTAGTGTAAGCAATTTGTGGACATTATTGCATTTTATAGTGTACGTCTCAAACTTAAAGTCATGAAGCATTGAACAGCTTTGCCATTTTAGTATGAGACTCTTCAGAAATATGACACAAGACTGAGAGGCTCTAGAAAAATTATTAATGTGGGCGAGACTATCATTTATGAACGAACCAATCACGTATAAGACAACAGGTAACGAATTTTGGCGCAAAAATTCACTCAACCATTTGGATAAATAAAGTTTTGTCATTAAAACTGATATCAGTTCGTGATGAAAACTTTAAATGTAATTCCTAACTATAAATGATAATTCTAATTCCTCACACTGGTTTATAACCCTCACTTAGTCTTAGTTATTAGGTGAACACACTTAAGGTCACTATAGTATCGCTCAAAGGTCATCCATAAATTATAGTCTCACCTTAATGTTCACTGTTGAAGAACTACATATAGAGATGAAACTTTTGTTTAGTCTTTAATAATTTCAGATGGGTTTTGTTAATGGTTAAGATCATGAATCAGTAGAAGCTAGACCACCATGGAAAACCTAGAAGCAGTGAACGGCCGTTTCGTCATATTGTGGGACTCCTCAGCAGTACGCATTCACGACCTCGCCCCCTGCGAGATTCGAACCAGGATCTACTGGTTTAACTAAGATCAATTTTCCATGTAAATAGTCAATTACTTATTTCAATGGAATGACAATCAATAAAGATGAAATACTTACCGATTTTGAACATTTGAGTTCTTTGTTAGATGATGTTGAATGAGATTGTATAGTATCATTAGAATGTTTATTATTTTCAATATTTTCATTATTAAATGTAGCAGAAGTAAATGGATCAATATTTGTATCTTCATCATAATCTAAATCTACATTGTCAACTTCATCATCATCATCACTGAAATCTATATCTTCTTCATCATCATCTTTTGACAATTTCGAAGCGCCATCATCATCATCATCATCGTCGTCTGAATAAACATTTGTAGGCAATTCTATTTCACTCATCCATTTAGCATCCTCTTTTATAATTTTTGATAAATTACATTCTTCTTTTGGTGTTTTCATAGATCTCTTATTATATAATTCATTTAAACCCGTAGATATCATTAATAATGTATTGGATTGTATTAATCGATCTAATTGGATTATACCACATGGTAATATATCATTACTGATAATATCGATTAATTGATTACGATATTGTTTAATCACTAAGTTTAATGAACTATTATATAATGTGATAATGATTTGTAAACTAAGTAAACGTGCTGAACATCTTGTCATTGGTGGAGCAGTTAAAAATCCTATTACATAATCATTGAAATAATGATGTACTAAATCTAATGGTAATTTATTAAATAATAAATTAAGAAAATTTAATAAAATTCGACGACATTTCCTTGATGATTCACGTTCAATAGAAACGCTAACATTTAAAAAGATTATTTCATCTAAATATTGATTTTGTTTACCAATAAAACGTGTAATTGGTAATTGATCAATAAGATGATGTAATAAATCAATTGCTGATAAACGTCCAATTGATTTTTTATATTCTAATTGTTTTATATAAAATTGTATAAATTGTTGTAAAAATTTTAATTGATGTGGATAATTTAATAAAAATGTCATTAAACAATTACATGATTCTTTACGTATTTGTTCCGAAGATGATGTAATCGATAATAATTGTAATCGATAAAATAGATTTAATAAACGTTGTCCACCACCACTACCAGTTTTAGATCATAATTATGATCAGATAATTTAGCAATAATTAATCCTTCATTATTAATTAATAATTGAGGATCTTTTATAAAATTGAAAAAATCATTTTGATTAGTTTGAATGATTGGATCACGTAAACGACGTTTTAATATTGCATTGAATAATGTTAATGATGAATTCATTGATTCATTTTGATTATGATTTAATTCAATATCAACAATATTTAATAAGGTTAATAATTGTAATTTAGATAATGGATAATTAGATTGATGATTGACTAATAAAGCTAATGTATGATATAAATTCTTGGTGAAATATTGTGCATGACAATCATTGATCCAATTTTATTCGAGAATAAATATGATTGATTACTTAATAGATTAAATAATTGATTACCAATTATATGGATATATTCAGAAAATTTTGGTATTTGATTATTATTGATTTCGATGATGTAATCAATAAAAATAATCGTATACATTTAATAGTAATATTTAAAACTTGAATATATTTCGATTGAAGACATGTAATAATCGATGGTAGAAATTGATTTAATAATTGTAAATGATTTAATTGATCTTGTTTTAACCATTGATAACGTATTAAACCAATAAATAAAGATAAACCACAACATACTAATAAATATGATTGTTTTAAACCAGATTGTGTAATCAATGAATGATATTCACGTTTTGGTTCATCATGTAATTCTAAATATTTCCAACGTGGTTCTAATAATTTCGATTGAGGTTGATACCAACCAGTGATCGTGTTACTATGCTGATGTGGATCATGATTATCAGTATCCATTATTGTTGTTGTTGTTGTATTGGTTTCATTGAAATCTAGATTAGTGATTGTAATTTCTTCAAGATTATCATGAACTAATTGTTGAAATAATTCAATAATAAGATTTAAATGAGATTGAATATATTTATTAGAAAATAATCCAGTTTTCATTGGAAGACGTGTTAATGTACATTCAAGTCTAGCTAATGCTTTATGTCGAAATCGTATACCACAACCGACAGAATCATTTGATGATTTATTATTATTATTAGAATATGGATCCAAGTGAAGTACCGGATGCAGCACAATGAAGTGCCATTTTAATATCTGTAAATAACTGAATAATACCTTCATTTGATAATAATCTACATAAACGTGTAACACCTTCTGGAGATTTAAATCCATTTCCTTCAGGTAAATCCATAGGAATAGATCCACTTAATTCATTATTATTAGTATTTGATAATTTAGCTGAACGTCTTGAATCAATTTCTTCAGCTAATCGTCCAATCATTTCATCTAAATAAAGTCGACTCATAATACGACCAATATAATCTAATTGACCAGATTTATAAGATACTTCACCGGATATGATAGCTTGTTCTACTTCATTGAATACACGATGTAATGTATATAATCTTACTTGCCAATATGTATAACCACCACGATCTAATTGTTGATGAACAATATCAAATAATTTATCTAAACTTTTACTTGGACCTAATAATCGTCCAATACGTGATAATGATTTGATTGCTTCATAACGTATTTGATAATTTATATCACGTGATGGTCTTAAAATATCCATAATACGTAAAATAAGATGAGGTAAACGTGATTCAAGATATCCTGATGGTAAACGTCTTAGCAACATCACTAATGATATAACTAATGAGATTTTCAATGGTTGATTCTGATTATTATTATTATTATCCTTTTTTTGATGCTGATTATTATTATTCATTAATTCAGTAGTATTATTAGTTTTTATTGGTTTAATGATAAATGGTTCTAATCGTTTAATCACATTAAGCATATAATTAAGAATCATTGAATTTTCTCCTTGTTCAGTAGAAACTTTTTGTTTTCTCTTTAAATGATCATGAATATCTTGTTTCTTTTCTTTGCTTTCTTCATCATCCATTTGTTCTCTATCGTCGCCGTCGCGTCGTCGTCATTATCATCATTAATATCTATTGAAGTATTCCATTTTGGTGGTTGAAATGCATCAATTATACGTATCATAATTTGTGATATTAAATGAATATTTATACATGTATTTAATCGATGAATTATTGATTCTATTAAAAATCGATAATATTTCCAATCAAAATGTTTTGCTATCCCTTCTATAGCATCTAAACAATAATCAATTAATTTTTTATGATTATCTGATAAATGATTATTATTATTATTATTATCAATAGATGAATTGAATTCTGATTCTAAATAAAACCATATAATTGGTAAAAAGATATTACGTAAATCTTTTTGTGATATAGGGAAATTGTTCCTATTACCCCTATTGTTACTGTGATTATTAGTTGCTAAGGTATTATTATTCAACTGACGACGTGATATAATCGTTAATGGATTATGTAAGAACAATGCTAAACGACGTATTGCACAACATTGACGTATTAATGTACCACTTTGTAAATTATTATAAAAATCATTATTCATTGAATAATTATCTAATAATAATGCTAATGAATAAAATCTTTTCCTTAATTGATATGTACGTATAATACAATTTAATAAACGTAATAAATGTAAACGTTTTGTACTAGATAATACATTTATATCTTGTAAATATTTCATTAAATTTAACCATAAACATTTAATAATTAATTCATGATAATATTGATCTGTATCTATGGTAACATTTGGATCTAGATTTTGTTTCATTAATAATCTTGATTGAATAGATTCAATACAATGTATTGTATAATCTAATGCAATATCACGTAAATGTAATTCATCATGACTTATTGTATAAATAGCACAATTTAAACCAGCTTGATGTAAATATAATAATTGTTCTGGTGGATTATTGATTTTTATTAATATACATAATTCAATAAGTAAATTATAACCATTAGCACGTTGATGTATATCTGGTTGATCAATATGTGTAAGATCCCATGAATTTAACTACAAAAAAAGAAATAAGGATATATATATATATATGCAATTAATAATGATTGGTTAATACAAATCGGAGAGAAAAACAACAACAACCGGAGTTCTATACTCCCCCTCCCCAAAATGCCTTGGTACGGTTAAGGATGAGAAGGGTCAACTCTCCTCCCTCTCGAAATGCTCTCACATGACCACGTGTAAACAGTTACTGACAGAGAAGTTCAACTCACTTCCTTTTTGTGTCGTGGGTGTTATTTATGATATTGACAGGATGAAAAGCGAATGTCCGGTAATTTAACCAGGTTAGTGGACACGGACAGGCCACCTAAATAACTTGGAAAACCCTCATTCCATACCAATCGTGTATATGGACTCCAGTATCCTGAGGGAACAAATGGCGTATGAATCAATAATTGCTCACTGGTTACCATGGGACTGCATCTCATTACGTTATTCCACTGCCTTGTGGATTAGACCCTTAGATCGAAGGCTCCGGGCATCCCCCCCCGAAGAAAACCACCTGCTTCGGTTTGGGCACCCAGAACGTATCCCAGCCTTCACATAAGTTGAAGGATTTATGTGGCGTATATCTATTTGGTACCACCTTGTACCAGTTTATGTGTTTGAATAAATAAATAATACATACATACATTATTAACAGCTTACCATTAATAGTACATTTTGAGTTAGATTATTAATTGCATCAATTGATTGATTATGATCTGATAAATATTTCTTGAAATATCTCAAATTATTATTAACTTGATCAGTTTCTTCTTTACTATCCTCTTTAGTATTCTTACTCAACTTTTCAATCATTTCAATTAGATTCATTGGCCAATTTGTTAAACGTGATGTACAAACACCGACTACTTGACATAGGAGACTACGAGCAATACGTGATTTAGAACAAACAAACAAATCCAATATTTTTCTGTAAAAGAAAAAAAAAGGAAACAAACATACGTATATATTGTTAGATCCCAGACAAAGAATAAATGAACCATGGCTGTTGCTAGGATATTATTTATGGACTACATTAATGCACATAACCCTATTGGATAACGGATACAGAAGGCTCGACTAGCTTTTGCCAACTTGCGTCATTTATGGCGTAGGCGAGATATCCGTCTATCAACCAAAGGACGTGTTCACTGTGCAGCAGTTCGTTCCGTCCTACTTTATGGCAGTGAAACATGGCCGGTAAGAGTAGAGGATATTCGTAGGTTACTAGTATTTGATCATAGGTGTCTTCGAAATATTGCTCGCATATCCTGGGACCACGGAGTAAGTAATGCAGTTGTTAGGAAACGGGTACTAGGTAAGGATGGCAAATCAATTGATGACTTCGTGAAACTTCATCAGTTGAGATGGCTGGGACACGTGTTACGTATGCACAACGACCGACTGCCCCGATGTGCGATGTTCAGTGGTATAAGAGTAGGTTGGAAGAAAGCTAGGGGTGGCCAGACCAAAACATGGCACAAGTCCATGAAGTCACTGACAAGTGGACTAAGCCATGTTGGTAGGTGTAGACTACCTGGTTGGGGACCACGAAATGATAGCAGTCGATGGTTAGAGACCCTGAATGACATGGCTCATAATCGTTTGCAATGGAATAACACATGTGCATCTAATCTTTGTGTTCACCCAAATTCTAATCTCCTGAATCCTCCTTGTTTCTTTTTTTCTCTTTCTGAATTTATTTCACTGTATCATACTCCTTGAATAACATCTTTAAACCCTAATCTTTCCGATTACTGCTGATACTCTACCACTACGGGATTTGAATCGACAAATGCATCTCTGTGTTATTGTGGTGTGGCAACTCGAACTGGTGTACGTACGTACGTATGAAGTTCTACATTGTTACTGACTGACTGGATAACTATCCAGTAACTATATTATATGTATACTTATATTTCTTTTATTATAAATTTTGGTTTGACCTATTGACGACTATTATACGATTTATTATTCTTAAGTTATTTCCAATTTATTAGTAACAGTTTCTCATAATCACAGCAACTTTCGGCTTGATCTTGTATAATTATTATCTTCTGTTTTACAATGTGATACGGTCTGATCTGCTTATATATATAAACAGCATATGTTCGAAATACATGATTCACATGGTGGAAGCTGAGATTGTGTTCTGGACTGAAGCGTACAAGGCTGGATGAGAAAACAAATAAAGACTCAAAGTTGTCTCTAGGCTGTTATACATGTGTAGACATTTTTATTTTTTTATAAAAGTGAATCGAGTATATTATTATATTCGGTCAGTCAGCTACAACGTAGGACCAGGCACATATATGCATCGGTCGAAGTTGAACGCGAAATTCATGGAATTAGTTACTCCAATGTTAGTAATATATAAAAGATCAGTGGAGTTCAACCATGTCAAATACTCAACAGTTATTGACTCCAGACAATGGGAGATGGTTGCATAATATTTTGAATTCATTGTAGTTATAGAAATATACCAATGGATATTGGCTCAATGGTCGACATTTCAAGTTTCGGAGCGAGATGGGGTTCCTGGATTTGGTTCTCATACTAAAAAGAAACGACCGTCTAATGCTTCTAGTTTTTCAGTGGTACTTTAGCTAAGGTCAGTTCGCGATTTCAAAACTATGAAACTCGGAAATTTGTTTTAGAAAAATTATTACTGTTTAAACTCACTTTAAATATTCAGTAATATTTGTTGTAATCTGTACAAGATGAAGAATAGATTGTATAAGTTCTGCTTCAACCACTTCACCTGTAGCCATCTGTAAATCATAACGTATAGCTGATTCATCTGAATTCACTAAGAGATTATTAGCAAGACGATGTTTAAATGATGCTGACTTAGTGGTCAAAGTGGTATTACGCAATGAACGAATTGATGAACGTTGAAGTAATTTTAATAATGCTTGAAGTAATCGTTCACTATCAACTGATGTCAAACAATTTATATTGGTATGCTGATTCATAACTGCATGATTATTATTATTATTATTACTGTTAATTGAATGACAAGGTAATTGAGCCAAATAACTGACTAATTGAAATTCACGTTGTAAACGTAAACCTGATTGTGGTTTTTTGCCAAGATTTGCAAAAAATGTCGATTTCACTTGACATAATTCTTGTAAACGTTTATTTAAATAATTGACTAATTCCGAATGGAAAGATTGTAATAATACACGACCTGTAGTGGATACATCTATTAAGAAAAGGATATATTCATATATACATATATGAAAGAAGGAAACTATAGATTTCAACAACAATATACTTTCGGTCATATTCACAACAAACAACCTAATGTTAAGTGATTAGAATGGTTTAACAAGAAATTCTAAATTGTAGGCTTCATGTTAATTGAGACCGGTGGCCAGTGAGATGTAGTAAGTGAAATCTCTGGAGAAATGGTAGTTCACACATGAGATGATTTTGTGGTTGAAGCTCTCAAGCTTTAGTATGGCGAATATACAAGTTTGTAATTGATAAGTAAATTGCTTTAATCCCATTTACGGTAATGATCATAAGTGTACAAGATGTACATATATATGCCAACGAAAACTGATTAAAGATATTAATAGATTAATACGAATCATTTCAAAGTGAACCACAACTCATACCCGTTGTAAAAGTGAGTGGGTATCTGGACTTCGTATTTTGAATGAATAATGGGCTTGGTATCTAAAGTGACCAGTACTAGGTCCGAGTACCGGAGAGAAAAAAAAAAATCTAGGATGCAGCTAAATTCATTAAATGAGTTAGAAGATTCCACTACTAACTACATTCCATTTACTCTATATAAATATAACAATGAGTCAACTTGTAGCCTCTCTAACTACACATAATTTGTCGAAGCGTCAAAGTGTACACGAACATAGACTGATGAAATTAACCTGTGAATATCGTCAAGAAGGAGAAAATACAATACTCTAAAAAGATATATATATATATATATATATATAGGCAAAACTATAATTTGTGGACGAACCAATCACGTATAAGATAACAGGTCTTGAATTTTGGCGCGAAACTCACTCATCCATTTCAATAAATAGGGTTTTGGCATTATAGCTGATATCGGTTCAAGATGAAAACCTTATATCTGGTTCCTGACATTAATCATCAAATATCAATCATAACTTTAATTCCTCACACAGGTTTATAGCCTCCATTCGGTTTTGGTTATTAGGTGGACACTCCCAAGGTCAATCTAGCGTTGCTCAAAGGTAGTCCATAAATTATAATCTCATTGTAATTAAATTGTGTATATCCATATTCCTTTTATTATGAGCTTCATTTTAACCTATGGATTACAATTATTACTATAAAATTTACTGTTCTTAAGTTATGCACAGTTTATTGATTACAATCTCCCACGTTTATAGCCACGTTTTGACTTATTTATATACTTGAACACATAAATATTAGTACAAAGGGGCACCGAATAGATATGCGCCACACAAGTCGCTTGATTTGTGTGTGGGCTGTGATACTGATAGGGCGCCCAAACCGAAGCAGGTGGTTTTCTTAGAGGGTCACATCCGGAGCCTTCGACTTGAAAGTCTTATCCACAAGGCAGTGGAGCATCGTAAGGAGATGCAATCCCATGTTAGCCGATGACCAAGAACTGGTTCATACGCCATTGGTTCCTTCAGGATACTGTAGCTCATGTGCACTATTGGTTTGGAATGAGGTTTTTCCAACTCCTCTAGGTGGACTCTGCATATCCACCAACCCGGTTAAAACACCGGACATTCGCTTTTCATCCTCTCAATTTCTTAAAAAACATTCTCGACCGTACCAGAGCATTTATTGGTTGATCTCTTGAAAATTTTATTTCCTATTTTCTATTATAATGTATTCTGTTTGGCTAGTATATAAACCAAGTTTGTTTGAAATAAATGATTCGCATAGTCGAACCTTCTATTGGCGTTCTGGATTCAACCAGAAGAGTTAGGATAACAAAGAATCATTAAAGACTTTAGGCTACTCATACCAATTGAATGTGATTGGTTTAGCACAATACTAAGATTGTCTAAGTTGGACTCGGATTGGTGAATTTATTTATTTATTTGAACACATAAGTATCGGTATAAGAGGGCACCAAATATATATGCGCAACACCATATTTGTGTGTGTGTGTGGGGGGGGGGCTGTGATACTGCCCGGGTGCCCAAACCGAACCACGTGGTTTTCTTAAGGGGTCACACTCGGAGCCTTTGACCTAAAGGTCTGATCCACAAGGCAGTGGAGCATCGTGAGGAAATGCAATCCCATGGTAGCCGGTGACCAACAATTGGTTCATACGCCATTCGTTCCTTCAGGATAATGGAGCCCATGTGCACCATTGATTTAGTTTGAGATCCGGTTAAAGCACCGGACATTTGCTTTTTGTCCTCCCATTTTCGTAAACAACACCAGTGATGCGAGAAGGCAGTGAGTAGGACGTCCCTGGCAGAGGCTGTATACGCGTGACCGTATGAGAGCATTTCGAGAGGGAGGGCGGGCCCACCCCACTCTCGGCCATACCAGGGCATTTGAGGGAGGCAGGATTGGTGAATTAATCATATGATGATAACATGGAAACAACAATAATTAATATCAATTATGAAACAATGGATACTACTTACCAGGTAGAAATGTTAAATTATGTATAATTTCTACAAGCTTCTCAATAATCTCATTCTTTAATTTCAATTTAGTATTAGTAGTATTGTTAGTAGTATTCATATTCATGTTTAATAATTTAAATAATGTATCCAATAATGATTGATTAAAAAATTTCTTACATAAATACCCATTATAGATTGTTGATTTAGACCATATATAACATAATTGTATAATTAAATGATTTAATGATAATGTAGAACTATGAATTAAATCATTTAATAGAAATGAATTACAACAAATTTCTTTGACAATGATTGAACGATCTGCTTCTGCTGCTGCTGCTGATGATGATGGTGAAGATGATGATGACGAAACGATTTGATCCAGATCATGATTAGTGATAATTGATTTACCCCAAAATTCAATTTCACATAACCAATTGGATGAGAATAAATGGACAAGTAAATTGATAGCAGCTAAACGTACAGCTTTTAATTGAGATGTTAAAGGTAATCGATTATAATTATGATTAGTTGATTCTAGTTTAATCTTTTTTACCTCATACACCATAGCTAATAAAGATAATGCTAAACGTAATAGAATATCAGCACGTTGAATATCATTGGAAAGTTCTATTGGATTGGAATTTTCAACAAGATCGTCTTCATTCTCATTTAAATGGACAATATTTAAACGATGACCCATATAATTTAATGTTTGATTGATAATTTGTGATAATCTGTTAGAAGATTGAAACATACAAAAGAAGAGAGAAGGCATAGATAAATATTAGAGGTAAATGAAGATAGAGAAACCTCTTAACTGGTTAAGTCTGGATTATTTTGTCTTATATAAACACCCATGACCTGTAAGCTGTTTGTTCACAATTTGTACAAACTTACTTTTGCCTGTTACATATCGTGGAAAAGAATAGGTTCACCATTAGCATTCTCGATAGCCTCCAAATGCCCTGATACTGCCGAGAGTAGGAAGAGTCAGCTCTCCCTCTCCAAATGCTCTCTCACATGGCCACGCATATATAGCCTCTGCCAGAGAAGTCCTACTCACTGCCTTCTCGTAACGAGGGTTTTGTTGTCCGGCACTTTAACCGGGTTGGTGGACATGGAGAGTCCGCCTAGGGGAGTTGGCAAGCCCTCATTCCAAACCAATGGTGCAAATGGGCTCCAGTATCCTGAAGGAACAAATGGCGTATGAACCAATCGTTGGTCACTGGCTTCCATGGGACTACATCTCTTTACGATGCTCCACTGCCTTGTGGATCAGACCTTCAGATCGAAGGCTCCGGGCGTGGTTTCCTAAGAAAACCACGTGGTTCGGTTTGGGTACCCGGGCAGTATCACAGCGCTCACACAAATCTAATGACATTTGTTTGGCGCATATGTATCTGGTACCCCCTTGTACTAACATCAATGTGCTAAATAAAATAAGAGGCATACAATTCCAAACGCAGTGTGTTCTTTCGTCTTCGTATTTTTGGTTTCGTTTCACGATTTTAAATTAGCGCTTGCCTCGTGATGCATTTTGGTGGTTTCCGTAATGTATGTTCTATACACTTCCATCATCTTCTAATTTCCTCTTCAGTTGGAAACTGACTTGTCTTCTCCTACAGTAGGCTGTTGCTGATGGTATCTGGCCGATGGATGTTGAATATATTGTGTAGACAACTATTTATAAATACTTGTACATTTTTAACGATGTACTTGTAGTAGTTCTCTAATTTTCAGCTCCATACAGTAGAACTGTGTTGACTTTCCTATTGAAAATTTTGACTTTGATATTGATCAGAAGTTGTTTTAAGTTCAATATGTTCTTCAATTGTAGGAATGCAGCCTTTGCTTTGATAATCTTTGCCTTGATGTCTGCTTCCAATTTGTACAAAAGTGTTATGCAATGACATTTATCGTTTCTAAGGATCATAATTGAGCCTTTTGATTGTATAATTAGTTGATAAATGTATCATTGTACTTGTATATTATCCTTATTGTAAGCTTTCAATGGATAGATCTATTAACTGTCATTAATACGTTTTACAATTCCCAATTAACACTAATTAATTATGTCCAATTTGTTTGCTACACTCTCTGTTAAATATGGCATGATTGTGTTCGAGATATTATATCTTGTTTTGTGTGATTTTTCGTCTAATAACTTATGTATATGAACTAATGAATACCTGAGATAGTTGTTAGCTGACTTCTCTTTGAACTCAGGGCAGTGTATCAAGAATAACTCGTGGATTGCAGACTAATAGGAGTGTAGCTTACATTCAGTCAGTCAGTCAGTCAGCTACAACGTAGGATCAGGCACATATATACATCGACCCAAGTTGCCAGACCTCATTAACACAACACCGAATTTATAGAAGTAGTTAATTCAATGGTAGTACCATATAAAAAAGATTGTGTATAAGGATATAGTACTGAAAGAAAGAATTAGTTCGTAGAAAGAAAGATATGAAGGAAGACAAAGAGTGTATACACCGACGCCATCGTGATCGATTCTGAGCCATGTCACCAAGTCTCCAAATATTGGTGACGATAGTCATGCAGACCCCAACCAAGTAGTCTGCATCTATCAACATGGCTCAGACGAGAAGTTAGTTAGCACTCAAGACCACTTTAGCTTATATTGGCTGAAGATGAACTATGCAGTTTAGAATGTGTAATTATTCAAGTATAGGGCGTTACAATGGAGACGGAATAGTGTATTAGGAATGGAAGTTAGCATTTGATAAAGATAAATATCTAAAGTTCTAGAACATTCTGTTTTTTTTATTCCGTACGTAGGATGTTAGATAGGATTGTTCCTTTATAACTTGTCATGATCTTCACCACAATGCCATATGACTTTTGTGGATAAAAATAATTCACTAGAGGAGACAGCTAAATCCAACTTAGTTAATAAACTTCAAAGATTATGAATATTAAACTTCACTAATCAATCAATATGAAACGTACGCATGTAATCGAGACCAGGATAATGTATCTTGACCATCAATTGTATGTTGAACACGTTGTCGAGCCGATTGAATACAATCACTTAATGATATAGTGGTAGGACTATAAGTACTGGTAGACAACTGAATACATTCTGTTTCTTTGATAAATGGATCTAATAAAAAGCTTAGAAATAAATTCAATTCAGAATTTGTATATTGTGCTAAATTAGTGAATACAGCTGATGTGAATTGACCTTTGGACAATTGTAATCGACCATATAATATACTGGAAAAAAAAATTAAGAGAGAATGCATAGACTGTTCTTCAGTTAGCTGTTTATGAATGAAATACATGAATTTAGAAAAAAAATCCATACTTGAACAAATAAGTAACAGAATGAACGTCTATCAGATCTCTGTTGTTGCCGAGGGAATGCCACAAAAATGGTAGCCGACGAAACTACCTTATGAACTACTATGGATTAGAATTTATTCCTAGTGTACAGATATAAAATAACAAGACTATTATGTTCTTGTATTCCGTTTATCATAAACTCCCATTTGAGTCTGAATACAACCCACGTTGGGGAGAGTCCTACTCATTGTTTTCTCATGACTGAGGAGTTGCTTAAGAAATTAAGACGAAAGGAGAATTTCCGACGCTTTGTAGGTACGGATATTTCACCTAGGGGAGTTGGAAAACCCTGATTTCGAATCAATGGTTCACATGGGCTGCTGAGGAAATAAATAGTGTTTGGACTTATAATTGGTCAATAGCTACCATAGGGCCCCATCTCCTACCGTTGCTCTACTGCTTTGTAAATAAGATCTCTAGGTCAAAGGCTCGGGCAATGTCTTTTCGAAAAAATCCCCAGTTTCAATTTGGTCACGAATAGCATTTCAGTCACTACACAAATTGAATGATAACTACTTAGTGTGCAATATGTATACTGGTGCCCATTTGTACCAATTTTTATGTGTTTAAGTGGTAAAAGTAACAATAATGACAATAATCTTCCGTTTGACTCGTTGACCTGGACTATACGCTTTATTACTCCGAAATTATCGCTAATCAATTATTTACAATCTGCCCAGTTTCACTTCCACTTACCACCTGTTTATGCGCAACTATGAATTTGTAGTAGTAGTAGTCAGGCATGTCCGCATTTAAACCCATGAGTGTTTGAGATAGATACCGGGCTGGATGGTGGCTGAAAATATGAAAATAGAAGCCTGATAGCTATCTTTTCCCTCAGGCTAGAGGTTAGGGAATAGGTGTAAGTATAGGCGGATTGATATGACTTAAGCTTACATTAGTTCCAAGTTTACACCGTCGATCGTGACGTATCGTTGGACAATACTTAGGACGCCAGGCCGTAGACCGAACAGCATACGCAGTATGGAAAAATTATAATCGGAATTGTAACTGGTTCTAACTCTTAAACAAGGTGGGTGAATATAGAGGATCAACCTAGAGGGGTTGGGAAACCGTCAAACCAAACTAATGGCACATGGGCTCCAGAATCCCGAGGGAATAAATGGCGTACAAACCTATTGTTGGTCACTAGCTACCATGGGACTGCATATCCCATAGGTGGAAGGTTCGGTGTGTGACTCTCTAAGAAAACCACCATACAATTTATCACATCTGTTTTTGGATTTCATTTGACTCCAACCTCAAACGCTACTCTCCGTTTGGTTTTCTTTCTAATACCATTTCCAAATCACCTCATATTTGTTTTTGAACAGATATATCTGTATAGTTAGTATTGATAACATTGGTCATTTTAATTCGTTCCATTATCAATGTCAATTGTTTCACATTATATCATACCTTATATGTTACACTTGAATACACATAAATGGTTTTAAGCAGTTGATGAGAAACCATGAAATATATAATGATATTTTTGGTCTCTAATTGGTGATCCGAAATATATTTTTTTTTATTTGATGGTAAGCCATATTTTAAACTTGTGGACTATTAGTGATAATACAAACTGGATTCCTAAACGTTTGACTCAAATTTATGTCTTTTTTTAACAGTTGAAATCACGAGTCGATCTAAGCTAGACCACCATTGAAAACCTGGAAGTACTGAGTGGTTGTTTCGCCCTAATATGGACAAATAAAGGTGCATATCCATGATCCCATACACCGTACTTTCGGTTTTGCGCGCGAACGCTTAGTGTCTAGATCACTGAGTCGATATCCAACGGTGTTAATGTCTAACGTCAACTGATCCATGATCTTGCGCAACCCTTCATCCATTCCCTGCGGTGGATAACTGTCTCACATCCAACAAAGATTGGACTCTACTGGTCACGGCTTTTCACTAGAACTCCAGGAGTTACATCTTGAAGCTAATCACTAGTGAGCACATGTTTGTTATCAGTATGGGAATTTGTAGAAATACTAAAATCTCTACAAATCGACATAATGAGATCAAATCAATATGTATATTCATACAATTAAACAGGTAAATGGGCAGTAACATTGTCGACTGAAATCTATTCGATAAACAAACAATTTTAACTTTTTTACAGAATCATTTACTCAGCTTTCAAGTAGCATTTTTTTTAATATAATAAAGACCAATGATGATACTTGGTTATCTAAACTGACTGAGAATTTGAACTTATGACCTATTTGTAGATTCGAACTGGAATATAACGATCAATCTTGTTGGCATTTTTTTTATTTCATTGACGGTGTTTTATTTTCTCTATAACAAAAACTTTGGTTACCATATATGGGATCATTTACGATCACAATTGATTACCAACGACTGATAATAAATTTCAACTGTCGTGATTTTGGTTCTCTAATCTTCAAGTAGTTTGTGTTGATGATGTCGTTCAGAAGAACTATGAAAGCTCCACGGCAAAACTATACAACTCAGAGAACTAAACTCCATCCAAATAATTCATCTGAGTTACAAATCTTTCCCATCAACTCATCTGTTATGAAAGTATCCCCTATATGAATTACAGTTATGATTAACCTTTCAATATCTAATCAGTTAAAGTTCATAGATAGAATATTTTGATGAAAATAGTCAGTATGAACGGTTGAATTATTCTACAATATAGTTTCTCAAAAGAATATCTCTTTAACATAACCAATCATCCAAGTAATGATAACCATGAATACATGGAAGGATAAAACATACGGATTACCGAATAGTTAGTAGTTGACTATCCACTATCCAAACAAACAAATTGTGTGACGAAGGACTAACTATATATGTGAGATAATTCCATGCATATTTTTACATTACAGATATATAAAATGTAATTGGAAAAATTACCGTGACAAAACTCCACCAATGTATTCACGATGTTCCGAAGAGTACAAAGATGTGTCCAGTCGAAATGTTCGCACTGCATCACGAAATGTTTTTGGATTAATAATCTTTTCTATTTGTTCTCTGAAGGATAAAACATTGTCATAAAAAAAGTTGAAATTACGATGTATACAATTATGTATAAACTATCATGTGTAAGTTAGTGTTTATTTAAAGAAAGGTAGTTGATTAGTTTAACTCCGCCTTTTTTTGGGTTACTGTGATTCGTAAGCCCGGGTAAAGGAGAAGGGTTAGACATGTGATTGACAAGCCCATCCTGTCGAAAACAAGCTTGCTAAAAAAACGCTAAGCAGAATAAACAAATAAAATCATTTAGACTCTGCCCTGGGAGTTGAGGGATTTTCATTCAGAAGAATGGTGGAAGCCGAGATTCTTCGGAATTCATAAGGTCGACGCCCCTTCTACCAAGTAAGTTTGTTAGTGTACGTAGCTATTGATGGACAACTGTTTCACAGCTGACATGGCTGAACTACGCCAGTTAAGATTTGCCACTAGTAATCCAAGAATTCCATCTTGAAGTTGGTCATTAATGTACACATGAATATTATTTGTATACAAGGGAACGGTTGTGTAATTTGTAGCATTTTCACAGTTAACACCAGTCAGTCGGCTACAACGTAGGATCAGGCACATATATACATCAGTCCGAGTTGCCAGACCTTATTAACACAACAAGATCAACACCGAATTCATAGAAGTAGTTAATTCAATGGAAGTACCATATGAAAAAGATTGTGTATAAGGATGTAGTACTGAAAGAAAAATTAGATGTAAGAAGAAGGATATAAAGCAATTTTAATCCCATAGTTTAAAGGGAGACAAAGAGTGTATACACCGACGCCATCGTGATCGATTCTGAGCCATGTCACCAATTCTCCAATATTGGTGACGATAGTCATGCAGACCCCAACCAAGTAGTTTGCATCTACCAACATGGCTCAGACTAGAAGTTAGTGACTTGAAGGATTGACACTACGTTTTGGTTTGGCCGCCTCTAACTTTATTCCAGCCATCCCCAACACAGTTAACATCGCAAAATAATATTAGCTGAATCGTCGAACAGCTAAGTAATTTCAATGTCGAATCCATTTGCAATTTACAAATCTCAGTTCTTGTGAAATAAGTCAGTTGTTTTTGTTTTCTATTCAGTCTACGATTTAATGGGCAAATATGAATTTTTGCATATAACATGGGATGAGAAGTAACATATTAAACAGGGAATTGATTATCAAGATAGAAAATGTTATTATCAGTATAGGGTTGCGGAGATTATTGATTGAAATCATGGACTGATTGATGTTAGACCACTGGACGGTCGTTTTTCGTCGTATTGTGGGACTCCTCGGTGGTGTGTATTCACGATCCCGCTGCAGGATTCGAACCCAGGGACTTCAACCACTCACGCAAACGCTTAACCTCTAGACCATTGAACCGGCATCTAACGTTAATAATGTATAACCTTAACCAATCCACGAAATTGTGCGACCATCTTCCAATATACTGAGGTATATACCTGTCTCTACTTGACACGGATTAGTTCTACTGGTCACCGGTTCTTTGACATTGAAGCATGAAAAAAAATTATGTAAAACTAACTTACTGATAATTATTAATTGCCGATTGTTTATAAGCCAGTAAACATTTGAATGCTGCATTTTGTATAGTGGGTTGTTTGAATTTTAATAACTTTTAATAGTAAGAAATTAGAAAAGAGAAATAATGTTGATGATAATAAACGAGAAACAACTGATTACGCAATCAAAATGAAAACTGTTATCAGATAAACATTGGTACAAGAAGGCACTGAATACAAATGCATTGCATTGAGAGAGACAGAATACTACCTGGATGCTCAAACTGAACCATGTGGTTTTCTTAGAAGGCCACACTGTGAACCTTTCACCTAGAAATCTAATCCATAAGGCAATGGAACAACGTGAGGAGAGCAGTTCCATGGGTGCTGGTGACCAATAATAGGTTCATACGCCATTTGTTCACTCGGTATACTGGTATCCATGTGTACCATTGGTTTGGAATGAGGGTTTTCCAACTCTCCTAGCTCGATCCTCAATATGTACCGACCCGGTTAAAGCACCGGACAATAGCTTTCCGTCCTCGCAATTTAGTAAAAACACCCTCTTTGTGTGAAAAAAATGATGAATTGGTTTGATGTTACATAGATGAATATATTTTTAGTATGGTGAAAAGAGTAATTAATTAACTTTGAAAAACAGATTACTTGTCCCTGTCATCGCAATCAATGTAAAGCCTCGCGTAAAAAAACTTGTTCGCACAAATCGCGCTATGATAGTAGATGTATGGTGGAGTCGTAAATAATGTAGTAACAATAATAATAACAAACGTGTGAATCATTGAAAGTCTGGTTCTAAAAGACAATGAATCGATTTGCAGCAGTCAGAAACGTTACCATTGAACCATTCAAACCGTAACTGACCTCATGTAGGAGTGAGATGTACTTAAAATTCACTGATTATTGAGTAGTGACCAATATCAAGTATAATAAATACTTCTTAGTGCAGACTGTTACGTAGGGTGACACCGGATCGAATCAGAGAGAGGACATCAGTTCCGTCAAGATTACAGTTTGAACTTGCTAAGCAATCCCGAATAACATGAAACCTAGGACAGGGCAGGGATTCCTATCAACTACCTCCAACTACCACCTTACTTCTCAAAAGAGAGTACACGATGTGTAATTATTTAGACTAGTAGTGTGTACATTGCTACATGAATTTCGATCAAAAGTAAGAAAGACTTAACGAATATGACATTGGTCAATACTCAGTTATCAATCAATTGTAAACATGTAGCACTTTAGCAGATAAATATTTGGAACAAAGTATTTATCTGATCGTAACTTTTCGAAATGCGCATATTTACAACTGAAGAACATTTGAAACACAAAACAACTATCTGTCAACCAACACCAAGGTCAGAATTTTTAATACAAATGTAAAGACAGTTCTACTGTTTGTGACGGAAACTTGGAGAACCACTAAAGCCATCATCCAGAAGATACAAGTGTTTATTAAAAGATGTCTATGCAAAATAATTCGGATCTGTTGACCAGACACTATCGTCAACAACCTATTATGGGAGAGAACAAATCAGATTCCAGCACAGGAAGAAATCAGAAAAAAGCGCTGGAAGTGGATACGACACACATTGAGGAAAGCACCGAACTACATCATCAACACAAGCCCTCATCACTTAGAATCCTCAAGGCCAAAAGAGAAGAGAAAAACCAAACAACATATTACGCTGAGAAATGGAGACAGACATGAGAAGAATAAACAACAATTGTATAGAATTAGAAAGGATGAGCCAGAACAGAGTGCGTTGGAGAATCTTGGTCGGTGACCTATGCTCCGTTTGGAGTAATAGGCTTAACTAAGTAAAGTAAAAAAAAACTGATCTAATCAAGGTCTTATCGTATTACTGTTATATTGTTTCAATACCTATGAACATTAACTAGTTGATTATTATTTGTAATATACTTACTTGGTAAATATTTTGTTTGAACTCTTTCTCCATATAAATTGATTTGATATTATTGAATTGAGAGTACAAATTCAGGATAGTCAATAGAAGTCTATAAGAAAAACAAATTGTGAATTGAAACGTTAAGATTTTGTGCAGTTTTATTTTGCTAATTTGCAGTTGAAGAGATCAATGATAATTACTTTAATTGAGATCATTGAAGAAAAAAACACAATCTGGAAACATTTCAAATCAGGTTTTGTCCTAGTAGGTAACTCTTCAACAATGTGCAACAATGCAAGACATTCGATTTTCAGGCGTGAGCGATTGATCGTTGGATCAATGCTTAAGTGCCCAAGCCGAAGTAGGTGATTTTCTTACGGAACTAGCCACACATGGAGCCTTCGATCTAAAAGTCTAATCCACAAGACAGTGGAGCAACATCAGGACATGCAAACCCATGGTAGCCGGTGACCAACGACTGGTTCATGCGACATTTGTCCCTTTAAGATATGGGAGCCCATGTGCACCATTAGTTTGAAGTGAGGGTTTTCCAACTCTACTAGTTGGATCCTCTATATTCACCGACTCGGTTAAAGCGTCGGACATTTGTAATCAACAATAATAAGATCAATACTCACTGTTCTGTTGACTTATTTAAACCAGATTGAATAGCAGAACTAAAAAGAACAGAAAAGAAAAGAAAGAAGATACTTTAAAATTGTCTCATTCAATGTTCATCTTATTGATGTAAGTTATCGTAAGCTAAAGACCTGAATACATATTAACAAATTATTGACTTATTTTGGAGTTCGTGTTATTAAGTCGCTAATCAAGAAAAGAGTTTGCATTATAGTCTAATCAGAGTAATCAGTTTTACATCTAGATTGTCTAGTAGCAACGACCTTCTGATAAAGAGAAAACAGACCGACGTCAATACTTAACGATCATTGAAAAATAGTATCAAAGTCAATCGCTAACTTTAAGAGGCGCTAAAGATTGTCAAGGTAAGAGTATATAATAGGGACTGGATGGTTCGAGTGGAGAATGAGCCTTTTAAGCTTTTGTAAGACATTCAAATATCATTTATGATAAGCAATAGAAAAACCTTGGTATACTGTTCAAAACGTTTAAAATGATAACGGGTAATTACTGATTGTCACTACGGAGTTAAAACGACAATGTTAAACGTGAATGAACTGAACACAAAGTGCATATTGCATGGCTACCAAGCACTTCTACACTACATCTGATGCTAGCTCGTTATGGAGAACTCTAAACCTCTAGTTCTTACTTATATCAAGAACACTGTACGAATACTTCAAAATCAATCTGAGTTTTTATTAAGCTTTAGCAAAGTAGACAAACTACACAATCAAAACGAGAAGAAACAAATTGTTATCTTCAATCTTACCTAATTATATTCAATAATAATGGTGTAATAAAATGTGTATATTTTGCAGCGATTTTCCAACGTAAACACTGCCATAAACATAATCGATAAGATAACCAATCTGGACGTTTTCTCGATTCAATAACTAACCAATGATTATTAGGTGTTTTTCTTTGTACACTATATAAATCTGGACGAATTGATGTGAACCACATGATGGCAGTTTCATATGAACAAGTGTAGAGATTTGTTTCTTTAGAATCTGAAACATTTGATAAATCTGAAATGAATAGAAACAACAAATTAAGTGGGTGGGGGGAATAACGATTTGGTGATTTATTTATTTAAACACATAAATCTTTGAACGAGGAGGCACCAAGTAGATATGCGTCACATAAATCATTCGATTTGTATGGGTGCTATGATACTGTTCGGGTGTTCAAACCGAAGCAGGTGATTTTCTTAGGAGGTCACACCCCTAGCCTTTGACCTAAAGGTCTAATCCACAAGGTAGTGGAGCAACGTTAGAAGATTTAGTTCCATGGTAGCCAGCTGCCAATAATTGGTTCACACGCCATTTGTTTTCTCAGGATTCTGGGGCCAATCGTTACCATCGGTTTGGAATAAGGGTTTTCCAACTCTCCTAGATAGACTCCCTGTCCACCAACTCATTTAAGGCGCTGGACATTCGCTTTTCGTCCTCTCAATTTTGTGAATAACACCCAAGTGGAGAGAAGGCAGTGAGTAAAACTCCTGTCAGTGGTTGTATGCACGTGGCCATGTGAGAGTATTTGGAGAGGGAGAACTGACTCTCCTCATTCTCGGCCGTACCAGGGCATTTAGAGGCTAATATAGATATTCAAAAGAATAGGACCACCTGTTACGAAACTGAGAAAGATGTTTAATTAGTGGTTATCCGTCACAATCTTCATAATTTGTTCGCTTGAGATGAATATATGGATCGTTTTAGTTATTATTATCCCTTAGCTCAATGCCATGTACGGATCGGCGAAAATATATGACAGTCTGTAATTGATTAATCGCTAAGTAGTGACTAATGTCGTGTGTATCAGCTCCTACTTATTTCTGACAAAATTCTATCGATCGAACAGAAATGTGGCCACTAAAAGTCTAAGTGACTCGATGTTTAGCTGTTATTGGGTGGTGGATGGAAATAGTCGACACGATAGAAATTGATCAGAACTAAAAAGGACTTCATATCGATAGGATTCTATATGCACTAAGAAATACTTGACGGTCGTTTCCTCCCAGTATGAAACTCAGCAGTGTGCACCCACGATTCCGAACGCGGGACATGAACCCAGTAATTTCGGTCTCGCACACGGATGCTTAACATCTAGACCACTGAGCCAGCATCCAACAGTGTTAATTTATAAATTCAAAGATTTGTGCGTTGTGGTTGTGTTAGTCATCTATTTATTCTTCTATCTTATTACACTAATCGGATCCAGGGATAAATCGAGTAGTGTTCCAGTTGACTCGCCTTCTTTTTTTCTCTCTAGTCTACCAATCAGGCGAAAGAATAGTGTTCATTATTCTACTCAAGGCAGTTAGTTAGTCATAATTCAAACTCACACATTTCTAACACCCAAGGTTGAAACCAATAAACCTGTCATATCAATGCCTTAATCTAGATCAAGACAAATTCTCTCATGTATATTACTGAATAGACCGATTAAGGACGTAACAGATAATTTAACAGTTTACTCAGAACATTGAAAAGATAATAATGAATGAAAGAAAATCGACAGATAGATAGATACTAACCCTCATTGTTGTTATGAACAATTTTTGTCTCTGTATCCATTAATAATGGTTGAAATACACTCCAGAATAAATTTCTACATTCAATGTTCCAATTTTTCTCTTTAATCTCTAATTCATGAGATGAATTTTCATGTTTAGTAGATTTTTTCTTTAATAATGAATTTGATTCACAATAACTTGCAATAGCCTCATTTATTGGAGACCAAATAGCAGTGAATTGAACATGAAGTAGACCAAATAAATAATGAATAGCAATCTGTATAAAGATAATTAACAACATACATGTATATAAGTGATTATGTGTTATTACACATCAGCAACAACCTATTGTGGGAGAGGAAAAAAACAGATTTCAGCACAGGAACAAATCAGAAAGAAGCGCTGAAAGTGTATAGGACACATTGATGAAAGCACCGAACTACGTCACCAACACAAGCCCTCATCATTTGGAATCCTCAAGGCAAAGGGAGAAGAGAAAGACCAAACAACACATTACGCTGAGAAATGGAGACAGACATGAGAAGAATGAACAACAATTGGATAAAACTACAAAGAAAGGTTCAGGATAGAGTGGGTTGAAGAATGCTGATCAGTGGTCTATGCTCTATTGGGAGTAACAGGCGTAAGTAAAGTAAATTGAACAAATATTGTTTGATTATATTGTTGACTGAATTTCACAAACCAAATAGCAATATATGACAATCAATTAGTTGAGTGACTTGATATAACTCTTAGTTTGAATGTCAAGCAGATGAAAATATTCTATAAAAAGTCATGAATTCAAGGTACATGCTTGGAAGTACCGCTATTTAAGAATTTATATCTGTAATATTCAAAGAACTGATGTTGTTTCTAGATGAGATAGTAATCTGAGTTAGCCAATGTTGACCAGTCAGAGATGTTACAACTAGATTGACTGTAGAATGAAGTATATTACCTTGATGGGTGACGAATATAAGCAAGAACGAATACAACATCTATAGATTTCTGTCTAATGGTTTACCTTATGAAGAGCTCTAGGTTAGCTGGTTACACATATGAGCCCTGACATATACAACAATTATTTACGTATTTATCACAAGACGGATTGGGTTGCTGAACCCATGTCCAACTCTCCCCCTTTACTCGGAAGTAATCCTAAAATAGCTACAAGCAGAAGCAATTGGAAAGCAGGGTTCAGGAAAGAGTTCGATGAAGAATGCTGGTGAGTGGCCCATGCTCCTCCACGATATGCACTTCATACTGGAAACAATTTTTAAATGAATCAATAATAAACGTGAATATATATATATATAACTAACCTCAGCCGCTTGTCGACAATATTTCACATCACGATCAGCATGTAATTGAAGTATATGCATTAGAAAATCACGTACAGTTTGATGTCCAAGTTGTATTTTTTCAGCTTTTAAACATCTTTCAATAATATTTTGTACAGTAGAGTTATATTGTTCATCAGTAGAATTGCTTAAACCACCATTGATTACGAATAGAATTCTTAGAACATGTAATCTTATCTGGGTAAATAAGATAAGTAATTAAAAAAAAATTTGTAATAAGGATGAAGAAAATTTTCTTAAAAATAACAAGTAATTTCTTTGTGTAAAAAGTCTTTAAATGCCCTGGTACGGCGGAGGGTAGAGAGAGTTAACTCTCCCTCTTGAATTGCCTCTCATATACAGCCATTGATAATGAAGTCATTCTCACTTCCTTCTCGTAGTGGGAATATTGTTTATGAAATTAAGAGTACAAAAAGCAAATGTCTGGCACTTTAAACGAATGGGACGATCCACCTAGAGGAGCCGAAAAACCTTGAATCCAAGCCAATGGTGCACATAGGATCCAGTATCCTGAAGGAAACAAATGGATTATGAGCCAATCGTTAGTCACTTGCTAGCATAGAATTGCATGTCCTGACATCGCTCCACTGCCTTGTGGATTAGACCTTTAGGTTAAAGGCTCCGTGGGTGGCCCCCCTTAAGAAAACCATCTGTTTCGGTTTGGGCACAAATACAATAATCCCAGCTCTTACACAAAATTAAACAAAACAAAAAAACAAACCCATATGATGTAACAATTTACCTGATGACTTGAAGACATTAACAATGGTAATAAATTTCCATATAGAATATCTTGATGATTGAATAGATATTGTTTATAATCATTATTAGTAATCAATAAATGAATGAGAATATCAATAATACGTAAGAGAATACAACAATATTCTGGATATAAATTATGATAAGATCTGAAAACAATAAAAAAAATCATAATTAACATAGAAAACAATTATCAAGAAATATAAAAGGAAGAAAAAAAACAATTCTAAATATTGAGAGCTTCATTAAATCAACAGTTCAGTCAGTCAGTAACAACGTAGAACTTCGTACGTACATACGTACATACATCAGTTCGAGATGCCTTACCACACTAGCACAGAGATGCAGTGGTCGATTCAAATCCCATAGTGGTAGAGGTAGTAAGAGTATAAGCAATAATTGAAAAGATTAGTGTTTGAAGATGTTATTCAAGATGTCTAGTCCAGCAAAATAAATTTGGAAAGAGAAAAAAGAAACGGACATGAAGAATTCAGAAGATTAAAATTTGAGAGAACACAGTGAGTGAATGCACTTGTGCCATTGCAAACAATTTTGAACCATGTCATTTAGGGTCTCTAACCATCGGTTGCTATCATCTCGCGGTCCCCAACCAGGTAGTCTACACCTAACAACATGTCTCAGTCCACTTGTGCCATGTTTTGGTCTGACCGAACCTAGCTTTCTTCCAACCTACTCCCAGACCATTAAATCAACATAAACCATCGAATTATTATCCATAGCAACAACAATCAGAAGAAGCAACAAATAACAAAAGAAAATAAGGATGTAAATTGTTAGTGACAGTAAGAGAATTTTGACAAATATGGATTGTATTGTATAACGATGATGTTTAGAACGTTTAAATGACAGATTATGTTTGAATGAATAGAGATTGCAAATTTTAATAGAGTAATAGAAAATAATTATATCTAATACAATATCTAAATCATATTGTGGTATCAGTCAGTCAGTAACAACATAGAACTTCGTACGTGCGTACACCAAGTCAAGTTGAAATACCACATTAGTACAGACAAACAATTGTAGAGATAGTAACAGTATAAGCAGTAATTGAAAAGATCAAGGTTTGAAAATGTTATTCACCATACACCATATTGTGATGTATACTACTTATGTCTATATAAGTGGTAAACAACACCTATCAGAAATGGAATGCTTGGCAGCCGAAGGATTAAAATACCGAAGAGGAAAGAACAGCAAAACAGAGTGACTGTTGTGGCAATGAAGGAACAACAAATGTCGAAACAATTAATAGACATTTTAGCAATAAAAGATTGAAAGTATGGTTCAGACAATAGGACAAATAAATCTGCAAAAATGAACTAAAAACATAAGGATTATAGCAACCTATGCTCACATTCAATACAACATCATTTATCTACATTAGGACAAACAATAACACCACAATAAGATAGACATTTCACGACGAGTGAAGGACAAACGCAAAAATCTATAAAAATGACCATGCAATTAATCAAACAAAGAAAAATTGTAAGAATAACATCGGTAATTACTGATGATACGGTGAACACTGTCACACAAGTACAGACAAACAATAAACCAAACTAATATAAACACATAAACAACCAACAACACTATCGTCACGAATGCAAAAACCACGATTCATACTTAACATGAATACAAACACTCTCAGAACATGTCAACCCTCAATGATGGACTGCCACAGTCATAGGCAGTAAGAGGCAAGGGTAACACTCAATATTGCAGCAACCGAATTCCGATAGACAATAACATCTACCCGAGAGTGCAGCTGCGTTAAGTGCATGCACACAATTCAACACAATCACATATCCACCACAATCCATACACAAACAATCAATATCGCTGAGCTCCAACCCGAAAACAGAGATTACACTCTGTCGGTGTGATACACAGCTCTACATTTATGCCCAGTACACAACGTATTATGGGCAACAACTGACCATATTCATTCAACCACAATCACAAACGTTCCACAAACAAACTACAACAAACAAACACACACACACGCACCAATAAACCTAATTAACATAAACACATAAACAACCAACAACACTATCGTCACGAATGCAAAAACCACGATTCATACTTAACATGAATACAAACACTCTCAGAACATGTCAACCCTCAATGATGGACTGCCACAGTCATAGGCAGTAAGAGGCAAGGGTAACACTCAATATTGCAGCAACCGAATTCCGATAGACAATAACATCTACCCGAGAGTGCAGCTGCGTTAAGTGCATGCACACAATTCAACACAATCACATATCCACCACAATCCATACACAAACAATCAATATCGCTGAGCTCCAACCCGAAAACAGAGATTACACTCTGTCGGTGTGATACACAGCTCTACATTTATGCCCAGTACACAACGTATTATGGGCAACAACTGACCATATTCATTCAACCACAATCACAAACGTTCCACAAACAAACTACAACAAACAAACACACACACACGCACCAATAAACCTAATTAACATAAACACATAAACAACCAACAACACTATCGTCACGAATGCAAAAACCACGATTCATACTTAACATGAATACAAACACTCTCAGAACATGTCAACCCTCAATGATGGACTGCCACAGTCATAGGCAGTAAGAGGCAAGGGTAACACTCAATATTGCAGCAACCGAATTCCGATAGACAATAACATCTACCCGAGAGTGCAGCTGCGTTAAGTGCATGCACACAATTCAACACAATCACATATCCACCACAATCCATACACAAACAATCAATATCGCTGAGCTCCAACCCGAAAACAGAGATTACACTCTGTCGGTGTGATACACAGCTCTACATTTATGCCCAGTACACAACGTATTATGGGCAACAACTGACCATATTCATTCAACCACAATCACAAACGTTCCACAAACAAACTACAACAAACAAACACACACACACGCACCAATAAACCTAATTAACATAAACACATAAACAACCAACAACACTATCGTCACGAATGCAAAAACCACGATTCATACTTAACATGAATACAAACACTCTCAGAACATGTCAACCCTCAATGATGGACTGCCACAGTCATAGGCAGTAAGAGGCAAGGGTAACACTCAATATTGCAGCAACCGAATTCCGATAGACAATAACATCTACCCGAGAGTGCAGCTGCGTTAAGTGCATGCACACAATTCAACACAATCACATATCCACCACAATCCATACACAAACAATCAATATCGCTGAGCTCCAACCCGAAAACAGAGATTACACTCTGTCGGTGTGATACACAGCTCTACATTTATGCCCAGTACACAACGTATTATGGGCAACAACTGACCATATTCATTCAACCACAATCACAAACGTTCCACAAACAAACTACAACAAACAAACACACACACACGCACCAATAAACCTAATTAACATAAACACATAAACAACCAACAACACTATCGTCACGAATGCAAAAACCACGATTCATACTTAACATGAATACAAACACTCTCAGAACATGTCAACCCTCAATGATGGACTGCCACAGTCATAGGCAGTAAGAGGCAAGGGTAACACTCAATATTGCAGCAACCGAATTCCGATAGACAATAACATCTACCCGAGAGTGCAGCTGCGTTAAGTGCATGCACACAATTCAACACAATCACATATCCACCACAATCCATACACAAACAATCAATATCGCTGAGCTCCAACCCGAAAACAGAGATTACACTCTGTCGGTGTGATACACAGCTCTACATTTATGCCCAGTACACAACGTATTATGGGCAACAACTGACCATATTCATTCAACCACAATCACAAACGTTCCACAAACAAACTACAACAAACAAACACACACACACGCACCAATAAACCTAATTA